GCCCATGGCAGTTGTTCCCCTGGGCTTTTCTAGGCAGAGAGGCTGAGGGTACTGCCTTGTTTCCCCTGAGGGCTCCCAGGGCCAAAGGGTGGGATGGGAGCTGGGTTCCTGGAGAACTGAAATGCTGGTGGCCCCTGAAGCAGGAAGTGGGCACCCGGCAGGTGCACTGGGTCTGGGAGCCACACGGCCTGCAGGCGGGGGCTGGGTTGTGTGTGGCATTGCAAGGAGCCAACTACCTACTTTGTAGTCTCCATGGATCCCACGAGGCACCCACGGCCCCGTTTATAATGATCCCACTTGCCAGTTTTCAGCTTCAGTAGAAGCCGTACTTTGATTTTGAATGTTGGTCAACCCCCTTTCCCATACTTAGCAGGTGGTTGTTTGTGGGGTTCTCTCTGGGCTGGGATCCCTGGCAGGTGAGCAAGTCACGTCCGTCCCTGAGCCTCTCAAAGCTGTGGCATCTCAGGCCCTGCGTGTCTGTCTGCTTGTCTGAAAGGCAGAGAGAGAGACAGAAAGAGAGCCCCCATCAACTAATTCATTCTCCTAATGCTCAGAGCCGCAGGCCCTGGGCCAGGCCAAAGTCAGGAGCTGAGAACTCAATCCTGGTTTCCCATGTGGGTGACAGGAACCCAGGTCCCTGAGCCATGCATGAACTGTAGCCTCTCGGAGTGTGCACCAGCAGGAAGCCGGGTCGGGAGCAGAAACTGTATTTAGGAAGACTAAAATGATCGCATGCTTGCTTGAACACTGTGCTAGGAAAGAACTCGAAGGTTCCCTTTCCGATGTCCTGTGAGACTTGGGTTCCGTCTGTACCCACCTCCTTTTTTCCCGAGACCTCTCACTTCCTCCTGGACCTGAGCGACCCACAGTTTCCCTCCTGTCGCTCACAGGCTCAGACAGGTGCCGAACGATTGAACCCTTGAGCAGACACTGGCAGCTGTTCCTCTGAACTGTAGTAGACAGGAACCTGCCGCTCCTGAATCAGGGGAAAAAATCGCTTAATTAGCAGAGTACCCAAAACAGCCAGAGCTGTTTTCTAGCTTTGGTTGTTAATGGATAAGCCTGGCTGATGTCACCGCTGACCGGTTCCTCCGTCCCACCGAAGGCCAGAGCCGAGGCTGGGGAGGTTTTCGCACCGGATGTTGGTGGAGGAGGCTGACAGCCAGGACTCCCACTTGGCTCTGGTTCTTGGGAGAGTGGGGGCTTTCAACATGTCCCAGACCCCGAAATCTGGGCCTTACGCTCTGAAGGAAGGGATCTTAGTGGTTTGGAGACCTCGAGTGCGAACAACAGCAAGAGAGGAGGCAGGTCACTGAGTGCTGGTTAGAACAGGGCACGCGGAGCTGGAGGAGCTGGCCTTGTGGCCCAGCGGGTTAAGCCACTGCCTGTGATGCCGGCCCACATCCCACATGAGCGCCTGTGAGAGTCCCAGCAGCTCCACTTCCAATCCAGCTCCCTGCTGTTGTGCCTGGGAGAGCAGTAGAAGATGACCCAATGGGGAGAGACAGAGCACCTTTCTGATGTGTTCATGCTCACTTCTCCCATCCAGAGGGTGAGTCCTGTGTTACAGGCATAGAGCAAAGGCCCCAGCAGCCCAGGGAGCCCTCCCAGGTTCCTCACCTGACAGCTGGAGCCGTGCTTTGAGGGCCCAGACTGACGTGGGCGGGCAGGTTTTTGTTTTTTCAGTTTTTTAAGATTTATTTGAAAGGCAGAGCTATACAAGAGAGAGCAACTCTTCCATCTGCTGGTTCACTCCCCAAATGGCTGCAATGGCTGAGGCTGATCCAGGCTGAAGCCAGGAGCCAGGCACCCCATCCAGGTCTCCCATATGGGTAGCAGGGGCCCGAGTGTTTATGCCCTCATCTGTTGCCTTCCCGCACACATAGCAGAGAGCTAGATCAGCAGCTGAGCAACAGAACTCAAACCAGCACTCAGAGATGGGACGCCAGCACTGCACGGTGGCAGCTTAGCTCGCTGTGCCACAGTGCTGGCCCCAGAGGGCAGGTTTTTGAGTGTGATGGCTTGTGTTGACAGAAGGGACAAGAGGGCCTTGATGTCTGTTTCATTTACAAAAACTCCTGTGATTCCCAGCAAGGAAGTAGAAGCTGCAGTCAGGCCTGTTCTTCATCGGGGAGTTGAGGGTTCTGCACTGAGGCCTTTGAGTACTCCCAGGATGTTCTCCAGGGATGCTGGGAGAGAGCTGGTTTTTAGTTAGTGCCGTCTTGAAAGCTGGGCAGGAGGAAGCAGAACTTGGGCCATCCTGCTGGAGTAGAGCCATGCAGCTGCGTGTTGATAACCCACACCGGGAGCAGGGTACCTGCGGCCGCCTGCGTCTCCCAGGAGCAAGGGAGGCCAGAGGACCTCTGCGTGGCTTGTCACTCTTGGAGCCTCCTACATCCGCTACTGCTTTCAGCAAGTGCCTTGCACACACACACAGAGACAGAATCCAGCGTGGCCTTTGCAGTGTACTGACACCTGTACCGCAGGTGGCTCGGTGGGTCTCAGCCCCAGCTGCCGGCTGGAATCCCACCCACCCACCTACCCTGGGAAGCCTTTACAACCAGCGTTATCCACCTCCCAGCCTCTCAGCCTCACCCAGGGCTTCAGAGTCCGTGGGTCTGTGTTGGGCCTTGCTGTGTCTTGTGTGCTTCCCAAAGCTTCCCTAGGTGGGGACCAGTGTCGTGGCATAGGAGATAAAGCCTCCACCTCTCATGCTGGCATCCCACGTGGGTGACGGGTTCAGGTCCTGGCTGCTCCACTTCCAGTCTAATTCCCTTGTAATGCACCTGGGAAAAGCAGCAGAAGATGGTCCAAGTGTTTGGGCCTCTGCTACTCATGTGGGAGACCTGGAAGAAGCTCCTGGCTGCTGGCTTTGGCTTGGCCTGGTGCTGGCTGTTGGCAGCCATCTGTGGAGTGAACCAGTGGATGGATTGTCTTTCTCTCTCTCTAACTCTGACTTTCAAGTGGAAAGCTCCCCAGGTGATGCTGATGTGCACCCAGGGCTTGGGGCACCTATTAGAGGCCCTGAGTCCTGCTGGGACTCAGAGATGAGAAACATGGAGAGGCAGAGTGCCAGTCGTCCAGGGGGCCACTGCGGCCGGCTGTGAGCACCGGCTCACTCCAGCCACATTCCTCTGATCTGCCGACGCGGAAAGTTGGGACGGCTGGGTCAGCACCTGGAGACCGAGGGCAGCCTGTGCCCGCCTCACCTGAGAATGTTCCGGAGCAGCTGTAAACTCTGGAATGCCGAGGCCGCCTGCGGTGATAAGCTTCAGGCAGGACTGCTTGCCGGTGAGTCACGGTGACAGTGGCGTCACCCAGTTGGACCTTGAAGAGATCCTCCAGTGAGCCTCGAGCAGCTGGGGTGCTTGTGGGCCAGCGTCTGCAGCAAGGTCAGAATGCTGGCCTGAAATGGGCTGAGGAGGAGGAGCTAAGATGGCCAATGGCCAAGGGCTCGGGATCGCACTGGACTCCGTCACTTGGGCTGTGATTTGTGTTCAGGTGCCCTTTGCAACTAGATAGTTCCAAGGGGGCACGGAGCTTCCTGTAGGATCAGCTTCTCCCTGTCCTCCTCGGGGCACTCTTACAGGGGTGGTCTGGGACTAGGGGAGCTGTGAATCAGCCACAGCGGGCTGCAGCCCCAGTTAGACCCCGGTGGGACTTGCAGCTGCTGCTGGCCTGCACCCCTCCCCCATCCGATCCCTACTGGCAGTTGCAGGAGGACTGTCCCTGGCTGCAGGACAGTAGCATTTGGGGTGCGCCTTTCTGTAACAGCCTGGGTCCCTTGTTTGGGAAAAGCTACTGTTATATTGAGATTCACACTCAATACAGGATGCTTCTGTGACCGGATGGGTGTGGCAAGGGGAGAGTTCCATACCAAGCTCCAGTTCTCTGTGAACACCAGCTGGGTAACCTGTGGGGTTTTTTGTTTTGTTTTGTTTTGTTTTGTTGCTTTTTAAGATTTATTTATTTGAAAGTGAAGTCATACATAGATCTAACATCCGCTGGTTTACTCTCCGAATGACTACAGTAGGCAGGGCTGGATCTGGCCAAAGCCAGAAGCCAGAAGCTTCATCTGGGTCTTGCATATGGGTACAGGGGCCAGAACACTTGAGCCATCTTCTGCTGCTTTCCCAGGCACATTAGCAGGGAGCTGGATCAAAAGTGGGCAGCCGGGACTCGAACCAGCGCCCACATGGGATGCTGGCATCATCGACGGCAGCTGTATGTGCTGAACCGCAACACCAGCCTCTATTCGCTTCCTCCTAGCCCTTGTGGTCCTTGCCCATCAGTTGTGACGGTGACATCAGCTCACCCAAGGTCTGCGTGATAACACCTGTGGGTGACAGACACCGTGTAAGCCTGGGTGCTTGCTTGGACAGGTGGAGTGTGGACAGCAGTGCCACCAGAGTCCAAGCTCTCCTTCCTGCTGCAGGGAAAAGCCGGTGCTGGGCGGGCGAGGTGCTGAAGCAAAGTGTGCGTTGGGGGAACCAGTAGACGGGGAAGGTGGCTGAGGAAGCCGTCGGGCCCGTGCCTTGTAACGGGCCCTTTCCAAGTCCGAGGGGCAGGAAAAGTAGAGCCGCGTGAGGTCAGGAGAGGGTGAATCCTTGCAGATACCTGGGCCCCAGCAGGGGTCTGAGAAGGGTCATGAAACTGTCCTTGGTCCTTTGACTTCAGAGTCGAGGATCTGGTCCATCTGCTCCCATGAATCCTTGTTAACAAAACCGTCATCATCTGTGCATGCCTCCTTATCTCCTAGAGAGGCGAGCTCCGGGCGAGGCCAGTGGGCAGCAACCTCAGGCTGCAGACAGGACCCCTCGCACGGCCGACACACACGTCTCCTCCGTGCGGGGCTGAGCCACCAGGCCCTGACCCTGGGGACAGACACAACACGGACGCAGACGGGCCCAGCCTTTGCACCCTGTTCCACTCCCCTGGCGGGCGGGCGGCCCCCCGGGCCCTTCCTCGGTCTCTAACACTGGCTGCTGCTTTGCACTCAGACACCTCGTTTGGAACGCCCCCTGGCTATGGCTGTGCTGCGGACCGGGCAGAGGGACAGCAGCGCCGGCAGCAGGACGGACTGCCCTACATCGATGACTCGCCCTCCTCCTCCCCTCACCTCAGCAGCAAGGGCAGGGGCAGCCGGGACGCTCTGGCCTCGGGAGCCCTGGAGTCTACCAAAGCGGTGAGTCCTCCCCGCCCCCGTACACCTGCGTCACCTGACAGGTGTGAGCTTGGCTGTGGGCCAGCTCTTGTCGGCCTGGAGGCTGCTGGGTGTACCTGGCACCCCTCCCCACCACCCCAAGTTGGTTTGTAAATGGGCAGAGCCAGTAAACACATCTTCTTGGGCCATCCTCCACTGCTTTCCCAGGCACATTAGCAGGGAGTGCGTCAGAAGTGGAGTAGCCGGGGACACGAACCAGCGCCCACGTGGGATGCCCACGCCCCAGGCTGAGGCTTAACCTACTGTGCCACAGCGTCGTCCCTGCTCAGCTTCTTATCCCGTGCCAGTGTCCACTGTTTTACAGCTGAGGAAACCCAGGTCCAGAGAGCTGAAGTCGCTTGCTTGGGGCCACACAGCGCGAGGTTTGAAGCCTTCCTGATTGCACCGCATCCTCTCTCTCCTTGCTCTGCGAGTGAGGTCCGAGAAGGACCCTTCGAGCTCTGAACAAGTGGATGCTGAGTCCTGTGTGCTCCTTCCAGCCATGAGAGGAAGCTGATCTGTCCGCTTGCTGCCAGGGTGCTGCCCAACTTGGCCTCCTACCCCACCAGGCTCCCGACTGGGAATCTGGCCCTTGCTTTTCAGCTTGTGGTGTGGGGACTTCTCTCCCATGGAGCTGTCAGGTGCTGGCCTCCTTGGGCTCCCAAGGGAGCCTTAGACTACTGTCGTGTTACACACTGGCGGGAGGGTGCACTTTTGTGCCGGCCACCTCTGGAGGCTCCATTCCCAGGCATGCCACCGGGCCCAGAGCAAGTGTCAGGACACACCTGGAGGAGGAATGCATTTAGCCAGAGGATGGCCGGGTGGTTTCATTCCCGAAGCTCGTGGGTTAGGGGATCTCCCTGGAGATTGGAGCTTGGGTACAGGTGCTCTGCTGCCATCTTCCTCGCCAGCCCTTTCGTTTTCCATCTTTGGTGTGAGGATGTGGTGGCTGCTTCCTGGGGCCCCCAGGGAGCGTGGTGGTCATGAGGATGAAGGCACCGCGATCCTGACCGGCCAGCAGGGTCTTCATTCTTCCCCGCCCTCCCTCCCAGCTTGAGCTGCTCCCCACACCCCCAAGGCCCTCATTTGCCCCCTGCTGTTCAGACTGAGCATTTGGGGCCCTAGGGCTATCAGGGGAGACCCTTCCTGAGAACTCTGTGGCTTAGGCGGGACACCGGTGGGTCCCCGGGTAGCAGATCTTCTCGTGAGTAGCCAGCTCCACGCTAGGTGGGGCCGGGACAGCTGGCAGGACTAGGATGGGTGGATTTATCAGGAGGATTCGTGCTGGTGGAGAGTGGGCCCAGTCTCCCCTGCATGCAAGGGTCTGCACATTTGCAGGACAGGCCCAACTGGGAGTTCTCTGCAGCAAGACCCCTAGCAGAGATGGGATGGAGAGACTGGAGGGCAGGGGACAGGGTATGAGGGGGCTCCTCCCACATGGCCCTGTTGCAGCTCGGCTCCGGCACCTGTTCTCGCTTACCTTGGCGGCAGCTGATGCCGGGCAGTGACTTTGTCCCCTGGGCCCCTCCAGCTGTGCCCGCCGTGTAGTCGGGAGCCCAGGTTGCTTTTTATCAGTCCCTCACAGGCCTTCGTCTGGCCTTGGGTTTGGTGGTGTTTGCCGGGAAGAGGACTTTTCCTTCCTGGCAGGGCTCCCTCCGTCCTGCCGGCCGACTGCTCTCCCAGGCCCTCTCTCAGAACTGGCGGTGCTGCTCCCTAGCTCGGGGTATAAATAGCTGGTCCCTGCCCTGCACTCTGCTCATTTGCAGCTCTCAACCCTCCCTCCCTCTTTCCTACCGAGATGGGGTTGGCCGGTTTCCATCCAAGCCGTTGGTATTCTGATGGCACCAGTGCCATACGGAGCCTCAGCAAAAGCTTCCGGCGCTGGGAGAGGAGCCCTCATCTGTGTCTTCTCTCCACCCTGCCCCAGAGGCTCCCTGAGCAGGACCCACCCTGTGCTGTTTTTCCTCCTGGCTTTCCAAAGCCGGTGGGTGGAACAGACACGGTGCTCCTGCCCATGCGGGCACTGCTGCCCTGCCGGCCTCCCTGGGCCCCGCCGGACCCCTGGTGCCTACAGTAGCCAGATTGTTGCCGGCACATGAACTGGGTAGGGTAGGTGGTGGCGGCTGCCCGAGGGGCCTGCTGTTCCCTCACCCCTCTTCCGCTGTATAAAGCAGGGAGCTGTGTCTACACGCGTGGGAGGCGCATGCAGGGGCAGCTGAGGGAGACCTCACCGTTCACAGTGGACTGATGGCATCGTAAGCACCCCCAGCCCGCGCGTCTGTGCACGCTGAGGGCAGTGATTCAATTTTAATAGCTCTTCAGGGCCCCAGGGCAGGCTCAGCTGACAGTCCTGGGTACTGGGACCCTGCATATCTCCAACAAGGGTACCAAGACCCTGAAGGAGCCCCCAGATCTTTATAAAACCATGGCCGAGGCCGGTGCCGCGGCTCACTAGGCTAATCCTCCGCCTTGCGGCGCCAGCACACCGGGTTCTAGTCCCGGTCGGGGCGCCGGATTCTGTCCCAGTTGCCCCTCTTCCAGGCCAGCTCTCTGCTGTGGCCAGGGAGTGCAGTGGAGGATGGCCCAAGTACTTGGGCCCTGCACCCCATGGGAGACCAGGATAAGTACCTGGCTCCTGCCATCGGATCAGCGCGGTGCGCCAGCCGCAGCACACCGACTGCGGCGGCCATTGGAGGGTGAACCAACGGCAAGGGAAGACCTTTCTCTCTGTCTCTCTCTCTCATGTCCACTCTGCCTGTCAAAAAAAAAAAAAAAAAAAAAAAAAAAAAAAAAAAAAAAAAAACCATGGCCGAAAATGGCACCCAGCTGGGCCTTCGAGATCCACTCGCTGATCTGTTAAATGCGTCTGCATTGAGCACTTGAGTGTTTCAGGCACAGCTGTGACCTGAGGCTCCCACCTAGGATACAACTGCCCAGCGTGTCCTGCGGGGCCCGTGAGAGGGGGCTCTGCATTGTCCTTGCTCTGGAGAGGCTCTCAGCCCACATCGTGATGGCTGACCCCCCCCCACATATGCATACATATATACCTGCACGCATGCACGCTCGCTCACAGCTCGTGCACACAGCCCACTTGTGTGCACACTCATGTTTCCCAGTGCACCTCAGCAGCCAACCCAGGAGGATGTGGTGCAGGCCCCTGCAACACTGGTGGGGTACAAGGACTGGACTCCCCCACCGCAGCTTATGTCCAGATGCTGACTCAGGCTGGGAGGGCACCTGCCTCAGATCGCAGTACTCACTGCGGCTGGCCCGGTCCTGCAGCTCTGGCCCCTGGGCTCTTTGTGCTGGACCTGCTGTCTGTACCGTGAGGGACCTCCCTCTTGCCGAGCCAAGGCAGTGGGGAGGGACAGCAGGGTTGGAGGATCGCAGAGGGACCACAGCTGGGATCCTGACTCCAGGCTGCGGAGACCCCATGAGCTCTGAGCAGGCTCCAGTCAGGTCCTTCCTCAGACCTAGCAGTTCTCAGGGTATGGGATGTGGGAGGATCTCTTTGAAGACGTTTGTGGGGTTGCCACACCTGGAGGCTAGAGGCCAAGGATGCTGTACAATGTCCTTCACGGCAGAGGAGAGCCCCCAGCCCCCAGGAGAAAGTCCTCCAGCCCTGGACATCAGCAGGCCCCTGGCGAGGAGCTTGCACCGCTGGTGATTTCCCCACGTGGCTTGGGAAGGGAAGGGTCCCGGGAGGCCTGACTCCAGGTCTGCGCCCGCCTGAGGGCTATGTGCGGGAAGCCGCGGAGGGATGGGCAGAGCTGTTGTATCACCCTCCCTGTGACTGCAGGAGGGGCCGGCTGGCACAGAGAGCACAGCCCCAGTGTGGCTGCAGCACAGGCCGGTGCCAGGGGCATGGCCAGCCTCTGGCTTCGCTGGTGGCCAGGGAGTGAGGGAGTGATGGACAGGAAGTCAGGCAGCAGTTTGACTGCTTTTGACGTCATCATCCATTTCAGCTTCCTGGGGGCCACCCTAACAAAGAGCCCCAGCCTGGGCGGCTCAAGCAACAAGGACTGAACTTTCTCGTGATTTTAGGGGCTGGGATTCTGAGGTCAAGGTCTCCGAGGTGCGTCTCCTCCCTGGGTCTTTTTTTTTTTTTTTTTTTTTAAGATTTATTTTATTTATTTCAAAGGCAGAGTTACAGAGAGGTAGAGGCAGAGAGAGAGAGACAGGTCTCCATCCACTGGTCCACTCCCCAGATGGCTGCAGTGGCTGGAACTGGGCCAACCTAAAGCCAGGAGCCAGGAGCTTCTGGGTCTCCCACATGGGTATAGAGCCCAAGGACTTGTGCCACCTTCCACTGCTTTTCCAAGCCATAGCAGAGAGCTGGATCAGAAGTGGAGCAGCCGGGTCTTGAACTGGTACCCATGTGGGATGTCAGCACTGCAGGTGGAGGCTGTACCCCCTACGTCAAGTGCCAGCCCCTGCTCCACTTCTGATCCAGCTCCCTGCTAACGTGTGTGGGAAGGCAGTGAGTGACGACTCAGGTACTTGGGCCTCTGCCACCCATGCAGGAGACCTGGATGGGGTTCCTGGCTCCTGGCTTCAGCTTGGCCTAACCTTGGCTGTTGCAGCCATTTGGGGAGTGATCCAGTGGGTTAAAGATCTCTCCCTCTCTCTCATTCTCTCTCTGTAAGTCTGCCTTTCATAAATCTTTTTAAAAATATAAATAAACTTCTGTTGTAATTGCATTGTTCTCCATGAACTTTCTGAAGTAGCTGCGTAACAGTCAGCTCCGGGGTTTGAAGGGTCAGGAGCGTAGTTCTAACCGCGCCATGGGGCTCTGGAGGGGGCCTGGCTGACGGGTGGTATCACGGTGTCAGGTGCAGCCAAAGGAGAGAGGTCATCTGGCGCAGACTGGAAGCCAGGAGAATTCAGGGTCCAGCCTTGTGCTGCTTAATTACAGCTTGCCCCTGTGGGAACTAAGTCATCCTGATGTCAGTCTCTGTAATCCCTCCCACTCGGCCCCACCTCTTAAAGGTGCCGCCACTTCAGACTAGGGGCACCCACTCAAACCCTACCCAAACTGTAGCAAGGCCCAGTCTGCAAGCATAGTGAGATTCGCACGTGCTGGGGCTTTGAGAGTCGACATACAAATGTAGGAGAGGAACATAACTCAGCCCGTGACATCCTCATAACTGGGATTGGAATGGGATCTCCCAGGGATGTGGCACGGTCCGCCACCCCCACCCCACCCCGCTCTCGGCCACATTCCAAAGGCAGCAGAATGCCACTGAAACATTGATGGGTAAGTGTCACTTGCCAACAAAGACAGAGTCTAGAATGCAGAATCAGCGGACAGAGGCTCTGAGCCCAGGGATTCCAGGGATTCCCCCTGGGCAAATGGCTGCAGCTCCCAGCTCCTGCCTCTCCACCCTGGTAGGGCAGGGGAGGGAGGCGGGGCTGCTGCCAGGCCTGGGCCTCTGCTGTCCAAGGGTCAAGTGACAGTGGCAGAAGATCCGGGCGAGGCAGACACCAGGTGAGGAGCAGAGAGCTGCCGGCTTAGGCTCCAACTGGAGTTGGGATGGGTGGCCGTGGGGTGGCTGTGACACCCCCTGGGCTCAGCCTATGGCCAGGGCTACCCTTGGACTTCCTGTTTGCTATGCCTTTCATGGCCTAGAGCCTTATTTGTCTCCTTGGCTCAGAGGGAGCAGGTGCACAGCATGGATGGAGGCCTTGCCGGATCCATTCTCCAGTGCACTGAGACCAGGGCTGGCCCTTTGGCTTTGCAAGATGACCCTCCAGAACTCACAAGTGACCACCAGCGAGTGGCTGAGCGTGTGCTGAGGCTCCGTGCCTCCCTTTGAGTTCCACGTGCAGCCTTCTCAGGAGACTGGTCCAGAGGTTGACAAGCCAGCCTCTCTCCCTCCCCGGGCCAGGTCTGACTCGAACATCAGTCCCCCTCCTACCCAACCCTGGGCCTGACTTCTGTCCGCTTCTCCTTGCAGAGTGAACTGGACTTGGAAAAGGGCCTGGAGATGAGAAAATGGGTTCTGTCTGGAATCCTGGCCAGTGAGGAGACGTACCTGAACCACCTGGAGGCACTGCTGCTGGTGAGAGGGGGCAGGGGTCAGCTGTCGGGGCCCTGGGGATGTCAGGAGTTTATCTGTGGGATGGTGAGCATGTTCCACCTCTGCAGAAATCTGATCCCCTCTCCCCACCGAGGGTCCGTGGGTGCCGAGGAGGACTCAGCTGTCACCATTGCTGGGTTTGTGTGTGTGTGTGTCTGTGGGATTTTAAACATTCCAGCAGGAGTGAGCACTTAGCCTGGCATTCAAGACACCTGCATCCAAGGGCCCCGGCCTTGATTCCTAGCTCTGACTCCTGACTCCAGCTTCCTGCTGGTGCCCATCCTGGGAGGCAGGGACTTGGGCCCCTGCCACCCATGTGGGGGACCCAGATGGAGCTCTTGGCTCCTGGGTTCGTCCTCGGCCTGACCCCAGCTGTTGGCAGGCATTTGGGGGGAATGGACCAGCAGATAAAAATGAAATCCAAATAAATGAATCAGAGCAGACACTGTGTCACCGGCAAGCTGCAGTTTGTGGTACCAGGCACTTGCCAAACATCCTGTCACCCGTGCCCTCTTCCAGCCCATGAAGCCGCTGAAGGCCGCCGCCACCACCTCCCAGCCGGTGCTGACGAGTCAGCAGATCGAGACCATCTTCTTCAAAGTGCCTGAGCTCTACGAGATCCACAAGGACTTCTACGATGGGCTCTTTCCCCGCGTGCAGCGCTGGAGCCACCAGCAGCGGGTGGGCGACCTCTTTCAGAAGCTGGTGAGTGAGTCACGGCCTCCGCAAGGATGTCTGGGTGTGGGGTCCAGGCTGTCCTTTGACCCACAAGCATGGTAGAGAGTGAGGGGCAGGGGGCTAGGGAGGTGCCCCTCTGGTGCCCGAAACGCCAGAGGGCAGGGTGCTAGGCGGGAGAGGCCGAGGGGAGCATTGACTGCCTCGGCTCGGGACCCGTGAACCAGCCGGGAGTCCTCTGTTCTCCCCAAAGCTTGTTACATCACGGGATCCTTTCCAGCTGCAGCCGGTGTTACTCCAGGTCCCCGGTCTCCAAACTGGCACAGCCACTTCCTTGAAGTCGCCAAAGACCCGAGTGATGAGACAGGCAGGGGGCGGATTGGGGGTGGGGGTGCAGGTGCTGCCTGGAGTGGCCCAGGTGGCATAGAGCAGAGTTTATTGGTCTTTATTTCATTTTTGCAGTTTTTGGACTTAAAGGCCTTGACTCACTTCGGAGCTGTTGTTGTTGTTTGAAATGATTTGGTTAAAAAAAATCAAGAGAATAGAGAAGTTGCCCTCAGGTCCTGGGCTGAGAGAAGCAGCAAACACGGGATACTGTGCTGCCCCCAGCCCCCACTGGCTGCTATTTAGAACCTGCAGACAGGATTGAAACTGCAGGCTTTCTTTGTTTTGTTTTCTATATTTTCGTCTTTGTTTTCTGAAGACTTAAGTATATATTTGAAAGGCAGAGTTACAGAGAGGGACATCACCCATTCACCATTTCACTCCCCAAATGGCCACCATGGCCAGGGCCCAGCCAGGCCAAAGCTGGGAGCCTGGAACTCCGTCGGGGTCTCCCATGTTGGGTGGCAGGGAACCAAGCACTCGGGCCATCCTCTGCTGCCTTGCCAGGCACAACAGCGGGGAGCTGGATCGGAAGTGGAGCAGCCAGGACCCCAGCCTTTGCTCATACAGGCTGCTGGCGTTGTTGGCGGTGGCCTAACCCGCTGCAAGCACCCTGGGAAGCAAGAATGACGGTGCTTCCTTGTGGGCAACTGGAGAAACAGGAAAGGATTGGTGTGCCTGGTGCTGTAAGGAGGCCTGGTTCCTGTGTGACTGACCTCGGCTCTGATAGCTCTGGGTAGAAGGTGTGGCCGGGGGTGTGCACCGTCTCACTGAGCTGACGAAGCCCTGGGAGGCAGGTAGGCACAGCCTCCATTGCTATGTGAGGCAGAAAGTTCATGGACAGACCACGCAAGGATTTCAGAATTTTCTAAAGATTTCTTTATTTATCTGAAAGGCAAAATTAGAGAGAGAGAGCAACAGAGAGAGATCTTTCATCCATTGGTTCACCCCTTAAATGGCCACAACAGCCAGGGCCAGGCTGAAGCCAGGAGCCAGGAACCAGGAACTTCTTCCGGGTCTCCCACGTGGGTGCAGGGGCCCAAGCACTTGGGTCATCCTCCACTGCTTTCCCAGGCCATAGCAGAGAGCTGGATCGGAAGTGAAGCAGCCGGAACTCGAACCGGCGCCCATATGGGAAGTTGCAGGCGGTGGCTTACCAGTACTTTACTACAGTACCGGCCCCTCAACCAGATCTCGACTGCTCAACACCTGCCTCTAAATTATCCATTAATTCCATTTTTTGTATTTTGTTTTGTTTTGTTTTCTTTCATGAACTTTGTGAAGTACCTTCATACAGTGAGGAGACTGAGGGTCTCCTTGGCTTTAACCCTTTATCTGCCTTGCTCCAAGCGGAATGCTCTTCCGCTGCTTTCAGTGGTGTAAAACCGAGGACAGGTGGCATTGAGAGGTGGAGTAAGGGCCTGGACTGGCCAGGAATCCACAGATGCTCTTTCACTCAGGACGGGTTAAGTCTCCTAAAGTCGAACCCCCATAAGTCAGGACCCATCTGCATTTGGCTTTGGTGACTATAGGATCCCAGCTGTGGTTCAAGAAGTATGAAATGGCAGAGGACCTCTGGGAAGGTGGGTCAGGGGGAGCCAGAGACGCTACTTTATTTTTTTTCTTATTTAAAGAATTATTTTATTTATTTGAAAGAATTACAGAAAGAGGTAGAGCCAGAGAGAGAGAGGTCTTCCATTCCTCTGGTTCACTCCCCAAATGACCATAACAGCCAGAGCTGAGCTGATCCAACGCCAGGAGCCAGGATCTTCTTCCAGGTCTCCCATGCAGGTGCAGGGGCCCAAGGACTTGGGCCATCTTCTGCTGCTTTCCCAGGCTATAGCAGAGAGCTGGATAGAAAGTGGAGCAGCTGGGTCTGGAACTAGCGCCCATATGGGATGCCGGTGTCGCAGGCTAGGGCTTTAACCCGCTGTGCCACAGTGCCAGCCCCCAGGGACGGTACTTTAAAAAGTCACAGGGAGTGGGTAGGTAGGGCGGTGGTGTGGCGTGCCCCGTAAAGCCACCACCTGTGAAGCCAGTATCCCATGTGAGCACCTGTCCCGAGTCCCAGCTTTCTCCAGTTCCCTGCTAATGGCCTAGGAAAAGCAACGGAAGATGGCCCAAGCGTTTGGGCCCCTGCACCCACATAGGAAACCCAGATGAAGCTCCTGGCTTCTGCCTGGCTCAGCCCTGGCTTTTGCAACCATCTGGGGAACAAACTGGCAGATGGAACGCCCCCCCCCCCCATTCTCTCTCAACTCTGCCTTTCAAATAAATAAGTAAATTTTTAATACATAAGTAAATGTCACCAGGATCAGCACCATGAAGCATGGTGATGAAGGGACTGACAGGACATCCCGTTCCTGACATCGGCCAGGCCACAGCCAGGTCAGGCATCAGATTCAGGTGCACACCTAACTGAGACAAAGACAAAATAGAACTTGTCTAAAAGACAGAATCTGGGGAGGGACTTGGGGGGCAGGGTGGGGCAAAGGGCTGAACGCCCAGGCAGGGCAGCCATGTGTCTGTGAGAAGACGACCCCTAGGTGGGTCTACGTGGGCAGCAGGGAAGCCTCTAGAAGTAATAGCCTGGCTGGCAGCTGTCTCCCAGCAAAGAGGCTGCCCTGGCACTGTGGGCCCCATCTGGGGTCTCCTCAGATCCCTGGATCTGATTCCAGGGTGGCCGGGGCCTCCTGTGCACTAGCTGGTTTCCGGAGTCTTCTCCCTCCCAAGGGAATCAAGTCCTTCAGGGGCAGCACTGGCCCAAGGCTCTCTGGGCCCTCTGCGTGCAGAGAGCACAGGGCGGCTATGAGGCTGTGGGGCTGTGAGGCTGGGATTTCCTGTTGGCCGTCTCCTTCCTCCACCCACCGCCGTGGACTATAGACACAGCAGACTCCAGGTGGGGGACACAGAGGAGGCGCTTGTCTATTCAGGTTCTCGCCTCCTGGGGCTCCTTTCCCTGTGCCCAGAGAGAGCAAGCAGGAGACCTACTTGTTCTGATCAGTACCCCTACTCCCTACTCTTGGAAGCTCCCCCACCCCCGAGCACTGTGTCAGCGATTTTAAATCCAGTGGCTTTCACTCAGCTGGAAGCCTGCTGAAGAGAATGGCATTGTTGGAAAAACATACAGGTAGTCTCTCCCCGTAAAGAATATCCTGAATTGCTCAGAAACTTTGGCCTTCCTCTCCCACCCCCCACGTCTTTAATATAATTTTAATAGAGTGATGAATGCCAGAACGTGGCATTTGCAAAGTTTCCTCTGGTTTCCCTGGTGACCTTAGGTGGCCTTGGTACGTCAGATGCGGCAGCAGGAAGGCTGGGGAGAGAGGCCATGGGGTGCTTGGCCTGGGCCGGTTGCCAGGCTCCCCAAGGACAGATAGGCTGGGCCCTGCCCTTGGCCCTCTGGGACCAGCTCAACAGCAACCAGTGTCTTGGGCCCAAAGGAACTCGGGGTGCCCTGCCCAGCCTTGGTGTCCCCTTGAGGAGCTGGGGGACTCGTGAGCTCCCAGGGCTGAGAAAGCCCACCCCACCTTTGGCTGGGCAGTGGCTGCACAGGTGACTGCCCACTGCCTAGGAGTGTGTTTCTGGCTGAAGCTGTGTCAGCTTGGTTCTGGCTTCCCTAAGCATTTGAGACTTAGGGTCACAAGAGTAGGGTGGGGAACTCTCCTGCAACCTTCACACACAAGCGCCGATTGTAATGCTTCACCGTGTGCGAACATGTGCACGCTCACCCGCACGCACTCACTCTGCCACTCACGTTTTCCCAGGATGCCTTGAGAGTAAGTTGCAGACACCTGCCCTTGTGCCCTGAAATACTTCATTGTATATTCGCTGAGAACGAGAACATTCCTTTTCCATAACCCACAGTACAATTTGTCAAATGCAGGAGACTTGACAGTGTGGTACTGCCATTTAACACAGTCCATATGCAGATTCGCCCTGAATTAGCTCCGGATCAGGATCCAGGCTGGGACCATGTGATATACTTGGTTGTCATGTGTCTTTTTTTAAGGTTTATTTATGGGAACCAGTGCTGTTGCGTAGCCAGCAAAGCTGCTGCCTGCAGTGCCAGTGTCCCGTATGGGCACCAGTTCTAATCACAGCTGTTCCACTTCCAATCCAGGTCCCTGCTAATGTACCTGGGAAAGCAGTGGAAGATGGCACAGTCCTTGGGCCCCTGCACCCACTTGGGAGACTCAGAAGAAGCTCCTGCTGAATCCTGGTTTCAGATTGGCCCAGCTGCAGCTGTTGCAGCCATTTGGGGAGTGAACCAGTAGATGGAAGACCTCTCTCTCTCTCTGCCTCTGCCTCTGCCTCTCTGTAACTCTGCCTTTCAAATAAATAAATATTTCTGGCTGGCGCCGCGGCTCACTAGGCTAATCCTCTGCCTAGTGGCACCGGCACACTGGGTTCTAGTCCCGGTCGGGGCGCCGGATTCTGTCCTGGTTGCCCCTCTTCCAGGCCAGCTCTCTGCTGTGGCCAGGGAGCGCAGTGGAGGATGGCCCAAGTGCTTGGGCCCTGCACCCCATGGGAGACCAGGAAAAGCACCTGGCTCCTGGCTCCTGCCATCGGATCAGCGCGGTGCGCTGGCCGCAACGCGTCGGCCGTGGTGGCCATTGGAGGGTGAACCAATGGCAAAGGAAGACCTTTCTCTCTGTCTCTCTCTCTCACTGTCGACTCTGCCTGTCAAAAATAAATAAATAAATAAATATTTCTTAAAAAAATCAAAATATTTTAAAAATTTATTTATTTGAAAGGCAGAGTTAGAGAGAGAGACAGAGATGCCTCCCATTTCTCCCCAGATAGGTGCAACAGCTGGAGCTGGGCTGATCTGAAGCCAGGATCCAGGAGCTTCTTCTGGGTCTCCCACATGGGTGCAGTGGCCCTAGGACTTGGGCCATCTTCCACTGCTTTCCCAGGCACATTAGCAGGGAGCTTCATTAGAAGTGGAGCAGCCAGGACGCAAACCAGTGCCCATTTGGGATGCTGGCGCTGCAGGCAGCTGCTTTAACCTGCTACACCATGGCATGGGCCCCTTGTCACATCTCTGTAGTCTGCTTCCTTCTAAACCCGTTCCTTAGACTTAGCTTGTCATACGTGACTTTGACATTTGTCTGCTTTGTGCTTAGGAAGAGATTCAGGTTCTGTGTTTCCAGGGGGAAAAGCGGTGTCACAGCAGGGAGGCCGTGTCCCCAGCTCCATTTGCGCTGTTACTATGGCAGCTCCCTCTCTGATGTGCTGGAAGGGTGGAAGTGAGCTGCTTGGAACTTGTCACACCTGGGAGATGTGAGCTCCTTGAGTCGGGGGTGGAGATGTCACCCAGACTCAGCTGAGCTGTCCCAAATCCAGGCCAGGGTTTGTTTTTTTTGTTTTGTTTTGTTTTTGTTTTTGTTTTAAGATTTATGTAATTGAAAGGCAGAGTTACACAGAGAGGCAGAGAGAGAGAGGTCTTTCATCCACCAGTTCACTCCCCAAATGGCTGCAACACCTACAGCTGGGCCAATCCGAAGCTAGGAGCCAAGAGCTTCTTCTGGGTTTCCCGTGTGGTGCAGGGGCCCAAGCATTTGGGTCATCCTGCTCTGCTCTCCCAGGCCACAGCAGAGAGCTGGATTGGAAGTGGAGCAGCCGGGACTTGAGCCGGTGCCCATATGGGATGCTGGCGCTGCAGGCAGCGGCTTTTCCCACTGTGCCACCGCACCGGCCCGGGAAGAATTCTTGAGTCTCATCTTTGCAGCTGTGAGGAAGGGTCTGGAAGTTGAAGGTGCAGTGACTTCTCAGGGTGGTTGGCATGGCAGGGCTAAGTCGTTCTTCCCCCACCCCTCCGCCTGCTGCTGCTGTTTCCTTCCAGTGCTCCCAGGAGCCTGCACGCAGCTCCTTTAGGGAACCAGGCCAGACGACCAGACCAGGCCAAAGGCGCCTGGGTCCATCTGGGATCATCACCTGTGGAAACACAGAAGCCCGTACACATGTAAATGCACGTGGAAATAGAATTTAGGCTTGACACAGAGCAAACGCCAGGAGCAATGATGGGGAGCTCTGGACCCAGCCAGCGGATCCCCTGGGTCTGCCTCCCCTCTCCCCCTGGCCTGTGCTTGCTGGTCCTTGGTGTGGACTGGTTTCCCCACTGCCTGTCCCCAGAGGTGCTGTGGGGCCCAGTGATGGCGGTGGCTGCGCGCACACACACCCCCACCCGTCCAGGGAAGTCACTCCGATGAATGCCTGCCTCTGCCTCTCATAGCTGCGGCTGACAGGTGTCCCGCCTGCCAGGTGTGCTGCGGTGACACCTGGGCACTGGGAGCTCCTCTTCCCCTCAGGCAGCCCCACTGCTTGCTTCTTGCATGTCTGGAAGGATCTGACATGAACACCACAAATCCCCAGAGGCTGGGGGGCCTGACACCCCCTCACCCCACCCCGCCACGTCCTGGGTGGTCTCTGGAACCTAGAATGGGAAGGCCCCTCTCCACCCGACCTGTGCAGAGACAGCCTTCCAGATTCACCATCTGCCTTGAACCTGAACCCCTGCCGGGGGGTGGGGGGAGGCACGTGGGGGAGTCGGGTGGGAGGAATCAGCAGTTCTAAAAGGGCGTGGGTACCTGCTCAGCGCCGTGAGTCACTTCTCAACGTGTCACTTCGGAGAGGGAACCACGCTTGGTGCGTGGGGAGGGGAAGCAGGTGGGAGGCAGGGCACAAGGGAGCTGAGATCTCTGCAGCCCGTGCGTGGCCTGCCCTACCTGAGCCGTGCTCTGGAGCCCCCTGCTCACCTGCCCCCCTACCCCACTCTCTCTCTCCTCCCGCAGGCCAGCCAGTTGGGTGTGTACCGGGCCTTTGTGGACAACTACGGGGTTGCCATGGAGACGGCCGAGAAGTGCTGTCAGGCCAACGCCCAGTTCGCAGAAATCTCTGAGGTAACCGACATCGGGATACGGCTGGGAGAAGGGGCGCCGGCGATCCCCACCCCCACCACCATGTCCAAGGTCAGGCTGGCTCTAAGCCCCAAGCCCTCTCTCCCAGTTCTGCTAAGCGTGTCCTCTGGGGCCCCATGCCGGCCGGGGACACTTGTTGGGACCAGGCAGAAGGAGCAGTCCTGAAGTGCCTGGCTCCCAGGGGCCAGGGTCAGTTCTGGGGTCAGCCTACATCTCCGTCCGTGTTCTGTAACAGAACGCCTGAGATCTGTGTAGCTGGGACGTTGGCAGCGTGGGCGTCTGGTAACAGCATTCTTGCTGCATCCCGATGTTGATACGAGGCATTCCCTGGAGAGACAGGGCAAGCTGCTGGCTTGGGTCTGTTGCCTGCTTCTTCCAAAGCCTCTACTGCCAGCCTGGGAGCCCCGCCCTCAGGACCCCACGTAGTCCTGATCACCTCTTGGAGACAACCCCCTCCTGCCGCCGCCACCTCCCTGCATCAGCACCCAGACTTGGGGGCCAAGTTCCCAGCATGTTCCAGCCACCATCTCACACTGTCTGTCTGTCTGTAGTGCAGAGTGGCCATGGTTCTGCCCCTGATCAATGTTAAGGACGAGGCCTGGATGGGGTCTCATCACCCGAGTCCCAGGGCTGACTTTGCACCTTGTCCCTGGAGGCTCCCTGGGTGTGCGTGGCCCTGTTCGAGCCCAGGAAAGCAGGTGTAGGTTTTGAGGGCTGGGACTACTGGGGAGCAGGCAGGAGGGAGCCAGGGTGCTGTTGCTGGTGCTCCTTGGTGGCCTGCATCGGGGAGAGAAAGCTCCAGATTGGAGCCTACACCCCCCGCCCAGGGCTGAGGCGTTGCTGTGTCCCTGCTCTTGGGCAGCCTTTGGGGGACTGGAACCTCAGACAGTGGAGGAGCAGGGGCTTCAGGAAGTTCCTGGACAATGTGTGGTATGAAATGCAGTTCAGAGTGGTTTTATACCCAACCAAATCAATAAATAAATTTTACAGCTGTGTTTGAGAGCTAGAAGTGGAAACAGACAAGAGAGCTGCCACATGCCGGTTCACTCCCCTAGATTCCTGCAATGGCCCCATGGGACCAGGAACTCCATCCGGGTCTCCCACATGGGTGGCAGGAAGCCAGCTACTTGGGCCATCACCGCTGCCTGCCAGGGTGTGCGTTAGCAGGAAGCTGGAGTCAGGTGCCTGAGGCAATGTTGAACCCAGGTACTCTGATGAAGGAAGGGTACAGGGACATTACCTGCTGGGCCAAGCACCAGGCAGTCCTTAAACTAAAAACTTCTCCTTCCATTTTTTCTTTCTTTCTTTTTTTTTTAAAGATTTATTTATTTGAAAGTCAGAGTTATACAGAGAGGAGAGGCAGAGAGAGAGAGTCTTCCATCTGATGTTTCATTCCCCAGATGACTGCAATGGCCGGAGCTGCGCCAATCCAAAGCCAGGAGCCAGGAGCTTCTTCCTGGTCTCCCACGTGGGTGCAGGGGCCCAAGCACTTGGGCCATCTGCTACTGCTTTCCCAGGCCATAGCAGAGAGCTGGATTGGAAGTGGAGCAGCCGGGACTAGAACTGGTGCCCTATGGGATGCCGGCGCTTCAGGCCAGGGCGTTTACCCGCTGCGCCATAGCACCAGCCCCTCATTCTGTTTTTCTAAGAACTTTTTGAAATACCTTCATGTTAGTACCTGGGACCCAGAAAGAGGAAGTGGAGGCCGTCCAAGGGTCTAGCAGTGAAGCTGGGACCAGGCCCACCCATAGGTCTCCATTTATCTGGACAGGGAATGTCCCCAACATTCCCCGCCCTGTCGGCGCAGTGGCCAGTGGCAGCTGGGTGGTGTCCCGCTCTGTGGGAGCCTGCTGTCACTCTTAACCTGCAGAATCACCACACTCTTGACTGCCACATGCCCTCTCCCATGACCCTGCATGGGAGTAGCAGCTTTAGAAAGAGAAACAGGCCGGCGCCGCGGCTCACTAGGCTAATCCTCCGCCTTGCGGCGCCAGCACACCGGGTTCTAGTCCCAGTCGGGTCGCCGGATTCTGTCCCGGTTGCCCCTCTTCCAGGCAAGCTCTCTGCTGTGGCCAGGGAGTGCAGTGGAGGATGGCCCAAGTGCTTGGGCCCTGCACCCCATGGGAGACCAGGAGAAGTACCTGGCTCCTGCCATTGGATCAGCGCGGTGCGCAGGCCGCAGCGTGCCGGCCGTGGTGGCCATTGGAGGGTGAACCAACGGCAAAAAGGAAGACCTTTCTCTCTGTCTCTCTCTCTCTCACTGTCCACTCTGCCTGTCCAAAAAAAAAAAAAAAGAGAGAGAGAAACAGAAAGAGCAGGGAGTCCCTTGGGACAGCAACTGGAGCAGTGCGGGGCGGGGGGTGGGGACAACACACCTGCATCCCACCGTACAGGTTCAAGTCCAGGTGATGACGGCTGAGGTCCTTGGGTCCCTGCCACCTACATGGGAGGAGCCGAATGGGGTTCCAAGGTCCTGGCCTCAAGACTGGCGGAGTCCTGACTGTAGTAGGCATTTAGGAATGGGACTGAACCAGTAGGTAGAGAGCTCTCTGTCCCTTCCTCTCTGGTAAACTGAGAGCTGGGTGCGAGGCGGTATCCTGTTAGGCCAGAGTCTGCCAGGCTGGATTCTGGGGATGACAAAACGATTACACGTTATGTGAAAGGGGCTTTTCTGGGGTCACGCAAGTTTAGGAAACCTGAGGTTACACCAAGCCCCCTAAGCTTCCTGTAGACGAGGCTTCCCGGAGCTCCCGCACTGTCTGGGTGCACGGGGAGCGCAGGCTGCCTCCAGCCGCCTGACCTCAGCACCTCGCACCCTTGGGGAGCTGCTGAATCAGACCAAGAAAGGAACAGTGGGCCGGCGCCGCGGCTCACTAGGCTAATCCTCCACCTAGAGGCGCCGGCACACCGGGTTCTAGTCCCGGTCGGGGCGCCGGATTCTTTCCCGGTTGCCCCTCTTCCAGGCCAGCTCTCTGCTGTGGCCAGGGAGTGCAGTGGAGGATGGCCCAGGTGCTTGGGCCCTGCACCCCATGGGAGACCAGGAAAAGCACCTGGCTCCTGGCTCCTGCCATCGGATCAGCGCGGTGCGCCGGCCGCAGTGCGCTGGCCGCGGTGGCCATTGGAGGGTGAACCAACGGCAAAAGGAAGACCTTTCTCTCTGTCTCTCTCTCTCTCTCACTGTCCACTCTGCCTGTCAACAAAATTAAAAAAAAAAAAAAAAAAAAAAAAAAAAAAAAAAAGAAAGGAACAGTGGCTGTGGGGGACGCTGAGCTCTCAGCAGAGTGCCAAAGTGCACGGTGGGGGTCAGCCCCGTGAGCTGGAGCATACTCCGTCTCTGCGGGGGAGGGGTCTCCTGTAGCACAAGAGGTTGGGAGAGCAACCTCAGCCCCCCGCCTGTGTCCTTTGCTAGTACACCCAGACCTGGGATCCTCAAAGCTGCTTCCCAGAGAGGCTCTCACCCACACAGGGTGGGGGAGGGGGTGGAGGCTCTTACGACTTCGTTTCTCTTTGCATCTTGGGCCATATCAGTGATGCCCTTGATGGAGCTGTGTTGAAACGTGGCCTGTCCAACCAAAAAGCCCTGGCCCCACCCCGGAAGTCTCATTTTTTTTAGTGAGCACATTTGCAGCCCAAGCGAGGCTGGGTGTGGGTAGAATCTGGTGCCAGCTCCATGGCAGCAGGCCCGCCCAGGGCCAAGTCCAAAGGTGAGCGCTCCTGGGAGCCAGCAGCTCCCCCACCCAGCCACCCTGCGTGCTGTCACGTGGCTCCAGGAAAGCAGTGGTGTGCAGTTAGCAAGGATGCTGCCATCTGCCTTGTTTGCAAGATTCTCTGTCGTTGGAAGTTCTCAGCCAGGGGTGATTTTGTCCCCAAGAGTTGCTTAGCAGTGTTTGCACACACTTTTGGCTGTAGTTAACAGGAGGTCAGGGCTGCTACTGCACATGTAGGTCAAGGCCAGGGACTGCCCTGAGTCCTACAGTGCGTGCAAGACGGCTGCTCACCTGCCCAGGGTGTCCATGATGCCGAGGTTGAGGAACCCTGTCCTGTTGGGGGGGCGCCCTGAGCACTCAGCTTGCCCGCGGGTCCCTGCTGTCCCATGCATCTCATTCGGCCACTCAGATCATACCCCTGCGGTTTGCCACGTCTGAGGTCCTCGACCATGAAAGAAGGCCGGAGCTTTCGGCTGGAAATCCCTGACTGTCTGTACCCAACCAGCACAGCCTTGGCCGTCCACATGAGCGTGTGCTCTTCTCTCTGCAGAACCTGAGAGCCAGAAGCAACAAGGATGCCAAGGACCCAACCACCAAGAACTCGTTGGAAAGTGAGTTTCTCCATGCCAAGACTCCTCTGTTGTCCACAGCTGGCCACTGACCACAGAGGGGCTCGTGGCTGGGAAAAACAAAACAGAAACCAGCCACTGTCTCCCTGTTGGGTCGCCCTCTGGCATCTAACCAATTCTAGACTTCAACTAGTGGGAGGTGGCACAGGAAAGGGCCACCCTGCATGGGACCGGGCGGGGAGGGCCGTGGTCAGGAGCAGTTCGCCAGCAGCACTGCCCGTCAAGAAGAACGTTAGAGTCAGCGAGTGTCCCCAAACCAAGGGCATTTAAAAATGTCACTGTTGTGTTGTCCCCGATGCCCCCATAGGGAGGATTTCACTTTCCCTGTCTTTCAGATGACAGAACGGGGTGCAGGACACACATAAAGGAACCCACACAGGGCACAGGGGTTGAATCAGAGGGGGCAGGCTTCCGGGGCTGCGTGCGACCTCACTCTGCTCAGCAAGTGGTATCAGGCTTGACAAATGGCTTCTGACTTCGGGTGGTTTAGGATGGCGTGTGGGTGGCCAAGCCCCCTCCTCGCCCACAACAGCACCCCTGGCTCCAGTCACCAGAGCTTCCCCATGCTCTGAGCCTCAGTCTTGCCATCTGTAAAATGAGGACAGCAGCCCAGCCCCTACTCCAGTCACAGGGCTCCTGTGCCGCTGGAGGCTGGGTGCCCCCTCCAGTGCGTTCCGATCCCAGGGCCACCTGTCCAACCAAGAGCTATGCCAGCATCCGAGTCAGCTCCTGCCCTTCTCAGAGCCAAGCCTCCAAAGCGTCCTGGGACTGACATTGAGAACAGCCTGCAGGTCTGCTCCCAGGGCACCTGCCAGGCTGGAGAGCAGGGCTGGTGAGGGTGGGTACTGGTCCTCATTGGGGTGCTGGCAGGCTCCTGCACCCCAGGCCAGGAGGCACATCAACACTCTGCCTTCTTAGCGATCACCGCCAAGTTAGCGTTGGCACTGCCCTCTCAGGGTGTGGCCAGCAGCCCTGGGCTTTCCCAGCAGGTGCTCTGGACGTGGCCGTAGGGGCTGTACAGGGGGTGCGGATGGTGGGGTTGGGGCTGCCGCCACCCCCTTGCTCTTACGGCAGGGGTGGGCAGCAGGTGGCCATCTCTCACCCTGCCCGTCTCTCCGTAGCCCTGCTATACAAGCCTGTGGACCGGGTGACAAGAAGCACACTGGTCCTTCACGTGAGTCACAGGGTCCCTCTGCAGCCCCAGGGCACCGCAGCCTCCCTAAGCCATGGTGGGGGGCTCCCCACCCCCAGGCCTCGCCAGGACCCCCTTCACCTGGGGTCCCCGGCTTCCCCTGTCCCAGCTCTGGCTCTGGCGTTTGTCTCTTCTCTGCCTTCCACCTTTATTGAGGATGTGGGGACGAGGTGCCACTGCCATCAAGGGCCCCATGGGGTGGGGTGCAGGGAGACTTAAGCAGCTCCACATGTGTCGCAGGTGTTCCTGCTGGGGCAGGTGCGGGCAGGGCTGGGGACTGGGGAGGGCACATCCTGTCTCACACAGGCAGGGGCTTGCAGGGGGAAGCTTTGTAGCTGCCACAGCCTGTGGGGTCCAAGGTGGCCGGGGCAGGGTACCGGTCAGGTCACCGTCTTGTAACCTGGGGAGCGCATGCAGCAGGGAGACACCCCCCTCTCGTTGCAGAATCACTGAAGGGATATCTTTTTAACACAGGGGTACTTCAAAAAGTTGGTGGAAAATGGAATTAAAAATGGGTTTATTTGGATATAGAATTTTTTTCATAATACATGGAAATTGTACATTATAAAAAAATGAAACATGGAATTCATAATTGGTCAGAAACAAAAATAAGCATACTTTTTAAAAAAATTATTTGAGGCCGGCGCCGCGGCTCACTAGGCTAATCCTCCGCCTTGCGGCGCCAGCACACCAGGTTCTAGTCCCAGTCGGGGTGCCAGATTCTGTCCCGGTTGTTCCTCTTCAAGTCCAGCTCTCTGCTGTGGCCCGGGAGTGCAGTGGAGGATGGCCCAAGTGCTTGGGCCCTGCACCCCATGGGAGACCAGGAGAAGCACCTGGCTCCTTGCTTTGGATCAGCGTGGTGCGCCAGCCACAGCGCGCCGGCCACGGCGGCCATTGGAGGGTGAACCAATGGCAAAGGAAGACCTTTCTCTCTGTCTCTCTCTCTCACTGTCCACTCTGCCTGTCAAAAAAAAAAAATTATTTGAAAAGCAGAGAGACAGAGGGATCTTCATCCACTGATTCACTTCCCAAATGACCACAACAGCCAAGGCGGGGACTCCATCCGGGTCTCCCCCATGGGTGTCAGGCCTAGACACGTGAGTCATCCTCCTCTGCCTTCCCAGGCGTATTTAGCAGGGAGCTGGATGGGAAGTGGAGGAGCTGGGATTCGAACCAGTGCCCCTATTGGGTGTGAGCATTCTAAGCTGTGGTTCAACCCACTATATCACAGCACCTACCCCTAAAAAAACTCTTAATTCCATTTTCCACCAACAAGTGCCCTTGTCTTGAAAAACAAAACCAGGAAATAAAAATATCCCCAGAAGGCCCTAGTAACACACAGAGTTGCACATGCTTTTTTTTTTTTTTTTTTTTTTAATGATTTATTTATTTGAAAGGCAGAGAGTTACAGAGAGGCAGAGAGAGAAAGAGAGAGAGCTTCCATCCACTAGTTTACTCCCCAGATGGCCACAATGGCCAGAGCTACGGCTATCCAAAGCCAGGAGCTTCTTCTGGGTCTCCCATGCGGGTGCAGGACCCCCAAGGACTTGTCCCCTCCCAGGTCATAGCAAAGAGCTGGATGGGAAATGGAGCCTCTGGGACTCGAACCAGCGCCCATATGGGATGCTGGCACCACAGGCAATGGCTGCACCCGCTACGCCACATAACACTGGCCCCATTTTTTTAAAAAGTTACAGCAATCCACGGAAGTGTGTGAGGTTCCCACTTTACCCCCATGCTGACCAACGGGAGCACCTGTTAGGTGTATGCAGCAGGTGTGGCTCTGTGCATTTTCTACTCCATGTCATTTCACAGAGGTTGCTGCACTTGGGCCCACAGGGCGCTGCCTCCTTCTCTCTCAAGCTGCGTGGTATTCTGTTGTGTGGATGGCTCATGGGTTCTTCCTGTGCTCCCATGAAGAGTCTTTGGATGGAGGGGAATGAGACGTGAGATGAACTGGTTGGCAGGCTCTGGCCCCGGCAGCCTCTGGCCCTCTGGCAGGGTTGGTCCCCGCCTCAGGTGTGGGTGTCTGGGCCTCATGACAGAGAGAAGCCAGCCCGTCAGTGTCAGCCGGAGTGCCTTCCTCTGCTCACTTTCCATCTCTCCAGCTTCCCTTTGCAAAGAAGTTTGGGATCTGGGGGGTGCTTTATGAGCACTGTGCAGGCAGCAGGGGTTTGGCGTGTGTCTGTCAGAGCACCCTTGGGGCCCACCTCCAGGAGGGTCCTCACACAGGCCCCCCCCCCAGGGCCCTCCCAAGAGGCAACAGCAATGCCCGGGGAGCTGGCGACTCTGAGCGCCGTCCGGTGAGGGCGTGGGTGTGCGGGTCTCACACTGTGGGTGGCACTGGTACTGCTCTCTGTCTAACTGGAGTCTCCTGGTTCCCCGCCTACTCCCCCCACCCCCTACAGGACCTGTTGAAGCACACTCCCCCCAGCCACCCCGACCACCCCCTGCTGCAGGACGCCCTCCGCATCTCGCAGAACTTCCTGTCCAGCATCAACGAGGAGATCACACCCCGCAGGCAGTCCATGACGGTGAAGAAGGGAGAGGTGAGCGGGGTCCCCGGGCTGAGGGACGCAGAACACCCGGGTCCCCCAGACAGCTCCGCCCAGGGAAGCTTGTTGGCTTCAGGGTCTTGCTCTGTTGGCAAGACATGGCATCACAGGGCAAGAGAGGAAGAAAAGAGGTCTTCTGTGGCTGTGGCTCAAGGTCAAGGGCACCTACCTGGTTGGTGATGGGTCTCCACGCTGGCTCGGTCCTGAGGGCTGCCTAGGCCATCACAGGGCAAGGGACAGGGTATGCGTCCATGCTGGGCTCTTTCTTCCTATAAAGCCACCAGGACTCAATCTTGGGGGCTCCGCCCCGGTCACTTTATCTGATCCCAGTCACTTTCCAAGGCTCAGGCCTCCAACACCAGGGTCAGCTGCACCCTCCCAGCACCTCCCAGTCAGCATCATTCCATGGGCCAGGGCTTAAGGCGGGGAAGGGGTCAAACCACAGCAGGGACCACAGCAGGAAAAACCCGGGCAACATCGGGGTGGATGTGTGGGAGCGACCGTCACCAGGCCTCGCTCGAGCGCCTCGCTGTTTTCCCGTCAGAGTGGTTCACAGAGTTTTTCCCCACACTCTGGCCAGCTCGGGGTCCCCAGCCAAAGAGACCCACTTCCTCTTACCTGGAATCACCTACTTCCTGTCACTGAAACACAGTTAACGCCGGATTGAAGGATTGGCAAGAGGGGGCCCGGGGAGGGGTCCGTGGTTTGTGATGGAGACTGGAGAAGGGCTCTACAGCTTGACGTCGCTTCATTCCGGAAGCTTCCCGGCCCTGCCCACCACAGCCTCTCATGCTGTCCTCATGCTCATTCTGGTCTCAAACGTTTGCTCCCTGGCCAGCAAGTGGCCACCAGTTGGCCCATGGAGGGGTGATCCCTTAGGTGCCTCTACTGCAGAAAGGGAATGAGTTCTCATGGCTCGGAGAGGTCTCAGCCTGACCTGCACCCTGCGTCCCGAGCTTTCCATGGTGCCTGGCTAAGCCAAGATGACCAATCAATGCCCATACTCATGATGTCCTGCTTGCTCTACCTCCCAGCTGGTCCAGGAGCAGACATTACTAATCAATCAGGAGACAGGAGCGCATGCGCACACGCACACACACATCCCTGGCCCTGCCGTCTCAGCCTGACCTGCACCCTGCGTCCCGAGCTTTCCATGGTGCCTGGCTAAGCCAAGATGACCAATCAATGCCCATACTCATGATGTCCTGCTTGCTCTACCTCCCAGCTGGTCCAGGAGCAGACATTACTAATCAATCAGGAGACAGGAGCGCATGCGCACACGCGCACACACATCCCTGGCCCTGCCGGGGATGGATCCACAGGCTGTGTCCACACACACACCCCTGCAGAGATGGGTCCACAGGCTGTGTCCTGTTAGAATTTGCAGCTGGGGGGAGGGGCTGAGCTTTGGAAGCTCCCCCGCCTTGCAGCCATCTTCCTGAGGTGTGACACTGCTCGTCAGGTTCCCAGTGGCACCACGCTCGAGTCTCATGGTGACTCCCTGCCATCAGAGGCTTCCTTGCACTGAACGGGTAGAGCAGCTGCAGCTCAGAGGGGCTGAGTGCCTTGCCCCTGGGCACAGCCACTCAGCAGCTAAGCCGGGAGGTGAGGCCAGGTGTCCACTGTGTGCACCCCTGGTGTGTTGTGCTCTGATTCCTAACCCCCCCCCCCCCCCCCTGGTGAACGAGTCGGACTTGTCCAGCCCTGCTCCTGTGCCTGCATTACAGGGGTTACCTGGAGGAGGCTGGGTCCCTTCGCGTTCTGTTTCTAGCTTCCCTGGCAGCTTTGCAGCAAAAACAAAGATGCCTGCCTCGGCCTGGGTGTGCAGGGGTGCTCCCCTCGACTTCTGCCAGGAGCTGGCCAGGTGCCTGTCTGGGCGGTGCCTAGGCACTCCAGGGCATCATGGAGAGGGGCCAGCAGCCTCAGCCCCCAGCACCCACTGTAGTTCCAATGACCTCATCATCTTGGGCCGCTGTAGTGGCTCCAGGGCAGTGCTCCCTAAGGGAGGGTGCCTGCGCGACAGCACAGGGACCAGGAGCAGCAGGCTCTGCCCGGGAGAATGGCCTTTCTCAGCCTCTCCGGAAACATCTAAGTCCAAGGACCCCGCAGGCACGTTTTCCTGCCATCCCGAATCCTGTGGGCTGGTGGGTGGGTGCTCATTTGTTTAGCGCAGTTGGCTTCACAGATCGCCGGCTCCCCACTGCTGGGTGATTTCCCCGGCGTGGCTGCTTGTCTGTCCGCTCTGAGCCCTGCACAGCCTGCTGCTTGGACTCGGAAGCATGTGGGTTGATCTGGATTGGAGGTTTTGTTTCCCAAGAGCTGGCCAGGCACTGGCTGCAAAGCCCGTGTCAGAAAGCAGCCCAAGTGTTGGGCCCCCACACCCACACGGGAGACCCGGAAGAAGCTCCTGGCTCATGGCTTCAGCCTGGCTCAGCCCCAGCCATTTGGAAAGTAGACCCACAGATGGAAAATCTCTCTCTCTCTCTCCTTTTCTCTTTGTATCTCTGCCTCTCAAATAAATAAATCTTTAAAAAAAAAAATGAAAAAGCATTGGAGAGGCTGGACCTAGAGGCAAAGCTGGAGAGGGCAGTGCCCAGCCAAGGGCAAAGACCAGGGAGGGGTGGGGTCCCTGGCTCCTCCAGACATGGAAGAGCAGCATATATAGGATGGGACTGGGCCTAGATTATTTTTTTATTTGAGAGAGAGCACTCCCATCTGCTGGTTCAGTCTCCCAACTGCTCATAATGGCCAGGGGAGCAAAGCCAGGAGCGGGGATCTCAGCCCAGGGCTCCCACATGGGTGACCAGGGGATTCAGTCGCTGCCTCCCAGGGTCCACATCTGTTTAAGGTTTATTCATTTATTTAAAAGACAGTGACAGGGCCAGTGCTGTGGCGCAGCAGGTTAACACCCTGGCCTGCAGTGCCAGCATCCCATATGGGCACCGGTTCGAGTCCTGGCTGCTCCACTTCCGATCCAGCTCTCTGCTGAGGCCTGGGATAGCAATGGAAGATGGCCCAATTCCTTGGGCCCCCTGCACGTGTGTGGGAGACCTGGAAGAAGCTCCTGGCTCCTGGCTTCAGATCTGCCCATCTCTGGCTGTTCTGGCCAATTTGGGAGTGAACCATCAGATGGAAGACCTCTCTCTCTGCCTCTCCTCTCTGTATAACTCTGACTTTCAAACAAAATAAATAAATAAATCTTTAAAAAAAAATAAAATAAAAGAGTGACACAGAGAAAGAGATATCTCCCATCCGCTGGGTCAGTTCCTAAATGCCTGCCAGGCCCAAACTAGGAGCCGGGAGTTTCAGCTGGGTCTCCTTGTGGTGGGACGGAGCTGGAACCTGCTGCGTGGCTAGGCTCTGTGGACTGAGCGGGGGCATCGTGGGTCCTGCTCTCGTCACATAGGGCCTGAGCCCCAGAAGGCACTCAGCAAACCTGAGCTCCCAGAAACCAGCCTCGTGCTTCCCAGGACCCTGGAATTAGCCACAAGAGGCTTTCCTGGGGACCAGGACGTGAAGGTTTGCTCCGCAGGAGAAACCAGTGAGCCAGAGAGCAGGTGAGAGGGAGGACGACTCGGGCAGGACCCTCAGCCTCATGCTCAGCCTCCCTGCACAGGTGTTCCTTCCTCCCAGCCACCTGCTGCACCTCTGCGGTCTGCCCACCCAGGTAGAGCCAGGGTCAGCTCTCCAGGGGTGCGGGCCTTGCTCTGGGCTCGCTGGCCTCCATGGCCAGAATGGGCCAAATTCAGCCCCTACTTGGAGCAAGCAGCTTGGTCCTCACCTTGGCCTTCTGCCTTCTCCGGTTCCTTCCTCTCAGCCCCGACCTGGGCCACCCCCAGTGACTTTTCCTGGTCCCACCGGCTAAGACCCTGCTGCTTGTTTTCTAATCGGAATCTAAGGGCAGGCGTCTGGCCTCCCACCCGGGCCTCCTGTTGGTGTACCTGCATCCCGTATCCAGAGTGCCTGGGTCCTATTCCCGGCTCCCCTCCTGGCTCCAGCTTTCCACTGAGGGAGGCAGCAGTCACAGCTCAATTACTCGGGTCTCTGCCACCCCCATGGGAGACCTAGGTCGAGTTGCCAGCTCCCAGCTTCCACCCTGGGCCAGCCCCGGCTTTGCGGGCAGCTCTGGTCCCCAGGGAGGTTTCCCAGTGTGGACCCGTGGTCTGTGGCTTAGCTCAGGCTGTGATGCCAAGGCACGCCCTTTGAGCGGCTTCAGTGAGAGATTCACATCTCACGGTGCTGGAGCTGGAAACCCCGGGGTCAGAGTGCCCATGTGGTCAGGTTCCAGTGTGGGCTCTCACAGTGTCCTCAGCGTGGCCTTTCCTCCACCTGAGTGCTGGGAGAGAGAAAAACAATCGCTCCCTCTCGCTTCCTCTTCTGGGACCCCCGTGGCACCATGTAAACCTGTCACCTCCCACGGGCCCCACCTCCATATAGCATCGCAGGGGCTGGGGGGAGGGGCCAGGGCTTCCTCCCACACATGAATTTTGGAGGTGCAGTGGTCTTCCCGGGAAGGCCCTTTGGTGGGCTGCAGCTGGGGCGGTGCCTGGGGCGGAGAGCGGTGTTGCCCTGGTGACAGGTGGAGGAAGCAGTCAGCCTGGGGCAGACCCCATAGGAAGGAGGGATTCCCCCACCCACCCACCCACCAACGGCCCATGGAGCCTGAGGCTCTGCCCCCCTCCTCAGGACACCAGGGTAATGCTAGGTGACCTCAGGGTCATGCTAGGTGACCCTGGGAGCCTCAGCCTTCTCGCCTGCAGAGGTGAGAGTGGTGGTGCCCTGCTCACAGGGTCGTCTTGAGGAGCAGGTGGTGTGATGAATAGGGAGCTCCGAACGGGGTGCCTGCACCCAGACAGGACTCGAGCCCCCTCCGAGGCCCCCTAGACGGCTGTTTCACTTCACCCTCTTAGGGATGTTCCCAGATGGGCCTTTCCCAACCCCGTCTCTTTTTTTTCTCCCTATAAGATTGATTGATTGATTTGAAAGGCAGAGAGAGATCTTCCATTTACTGGTTCACTCCCCAAGTGGACACAGCAGCCAGGGCCGGGCCAGGCTGAAGCCAGGAGCCTGGAACTCCATCCCAGTCTCCCACGTGGGTGGCAGGGGCCCAAGCACTTGGGCCATCCTCCAGTGCTTTCCCAGGCGCGTTAGCAGGGAGCTGGATCAGAAGTGGAGCAGCCGAGACTCCAACCGATGCTCATATGGGATGCCGGTTTCACAGGTTGCAGCTTAACCCACTGCATGCCAGTTGGGCCCTGCAACCCCATCCTGTACTCAGGGAAACAGGCTCAGAGAATCAGCCAAGACGGCGTCCTTGTCTTGGAGTGGGGGTGGGGGCTGAAGGTGGGGGTGGGCCCAGCCACACGCACTCTCTCGGGGTCTTCCTGTTTGGGGCCCTGCCGTCCAGAACTGTGTTTATCCACTGTTGCTTGTTCTCAGGCAGTGGTATCCATCCCAGCTGGTGTCCCAGCTTGGAGCTCGCAGAGGGGGTGCCGCCCCTCCCACCGCCGTGTCCTACAACACACAGGGACCCTGTGCACAAGGTCCCGCTTGCTTGTCAGTGGGGTCGACAGGGAAATGTGGCTACCCGGGGCCACACAGACGGGATACCCGCAGAGAACCAGGACCCTCACGCCAGCAAAGGCGCTCACACATGGGGACGCCCCCACCTGCATGGGAACACGCGTGAAGAAACACAGGTGCCCTCCCCATGCACACACACATGCGTGCGCACACCCTGCAGTCCCCACGAGATGACTCTGTTCAGCTGCTGCCCCTCAGCCTCCAGGTCTGGCCCCATCCCCGTGCTGGGGTCCAGCGGGCTGTTTGCTGTGGGGGTGGGGAGATGCCGAGTCAGAGAGAGGAGCCCTTTCCAGCCCAGGAGGAGGGGGTGGGACCCAGGTGGCCCAGCCCAGCCCTTGCCTGTGCCCCCTGGGGGGTGGGATGGGAGGTAGGTGATAGAGCTGGGAGCCTGGTGCTGCTGTAGACCTGAGTATCTGCTCTCCCCAGCTAGGGAGGGAGGCCTCCTCGTCCTGCACTGGTGCTGAGTGGGCATGGAAGAAGGCAGGCATCCCCGTCTTACAGGGAAGACAGAGCCTCTGGCAGCCTGGGCCAGAGGGGCAGGGGTTCCCTCGCAAGGCCTCGCAGAGTGGAGTCGCTGTGGGCACCTCTGCTCACTGTCCCAGGGCCCTCATCACCACTAGCTCTGCCACACCTTCCCAGGTGATCTGCCCCGGGCCCATCTCTGTCTCCTTTCCCGTGCAGATGAGGTTGGAGCCACTGCTGTTTTCTCACGGGATAGATCCAGCTCACGCCAGGCCCCGCTGACCTCCTGGGCCACCAGAGAGGCACGGTGGAGGCCAGGGGCCCAGACTGTGGGTCCAGTGGCCCCACCAGCCTTTAGAATCCATCCTTTTTCAGTCCTGGATGGCTGGAGACAGGGTGAAGCGTGGATGGATCCTGCCTGCCCTGCACCTGCTGCTGTCATGTCCGGGCCTTGATTCCAGCCCCTCCAAGAGTACTCCCTGAGTTTGCCAGGGTCATGGTTGGGCCCCTCCTTCCTGGACATTTTCTGTTCAGGTCGCGCCGCCAGTCTCCGAGGAGGGCTGCGGTTTGGAGTGAGACCTGGCTCCTGTGGGAAGCTGCTGTGACAGCCCAGGGAAGCTTGTGGGGAGAGAGCTTTGGCCAACACTCTGTCCAGCACCCAAGCCACAAGTGGCCCATGGTGTGGCGTGCAGGCTCGTATGACCCTCAAAGAGACAAGAGTCTGCCACAGCAGGGCTGAGATGCAGCAGGTGCAACTGGGCTGTCTGGGAGGTTGAAAGAGCAGACTGGAACCAGGCTTAGCCTGCTTGTCAGAGCCTCCAGGGCCTGCACTGCCACCCAGAGCAGCCTGCGTCCTCTCCTCCTGGCAGGGAGACGTGCATGTCTGACCAGCACCCACGGTGCCAGGAGCAGTCGGTGCTGTGTGCGTGACCTGCAGCCAGAAGTGGGTGCAGGGTGCCCTCTGCTGGTGACGGCAGGGAGTGCATGCCTTTGCTTGGGAGTAGGGTTTACTGTCCCCGCTGGAAGTCCCATGGTCCCCACCTCCTGAGCTGAGAGTCCCTCTGCCGTGACCTTGCTGATGCAGCATCTGTGTGGTCAGTTCTCCAGGCCTTCCCATGTACCCGTGGTCTCAGAGTTGAGCTTCCATTGCTGTGCAGCCAAGTGTAACAGGTGCACATGCTACTTCCTGCTCCCTGTGGGTGAGTGGCAGTCACAGGAACGGCATGCTGGTGGCCTTCCTTTAACTTTCCACTTGTGGGTTCGTGGCTCCCATGTAAATAATCATCGGCTCCTCTCACCAGGGTCTCTCTTGAGCCAAGCCCTGTGTGACAATGCCGTGGCACCTGTAGGAGCATCAGGCAGCCTGGCAGAGCCTGCACTTGGCTGCTGCCGCCCCTGGCCCTGCAGGGTGTGTGGGAATTCAGGGAGGCTGCATGGACAAGGGAACCAAGCACACAGGGTGGCCCCAGCCTGGCCTGGCTCTGCCATAGTGGGAGTCTGGGGATGAGTGCGCCCTCTGCTGGGAAACACTGGATTTTCACCCACCACCCTTCCCAGCATTCACAGCTCCGGCAGCAGTGGTCACCCACTCTGGGAAGCTGTCCTTGCGAACAGGTGAGCCTGGTGCCTGCTGAGCACCTGCCCTCTCTCCCTGGGCTTGTGGGCTGCCAAGAGCAGAGGCCAGTGTCTGTCATGGCATCTCACTGCACTGCCCAGGGCAGTGTGTATGGGGGTGGCCGGGTGCTCTGTGAGGCTCATTTCTTTCATCTGTGAGATGGACATAAGGACCTGGCCGCCAGATGTTGTGATCAAGTCAGTGGATGCAGGTGCTGAGCTACCGGCCACTGTTGGTCAGATGAATGCATGGTTTGCCTCGGTTTGCCCATTCAGCAAGAAGGGCCACCCTCATCTTTGGGGTGACACTCCAAGCTTGTGGCCTCCCCTGCTTGTTCTCGGTCCATCTACCAAGGGCACCTCCCGGACTTGGCTCGCAGGTGTCCGGCAGGTGCCGAGTGCAGTCAGGATCCCATCCCACCCATCAGGAGGATTTGGGGTTCCCAACATGGGCCCCTCCCCAAGTTTCCCATCGCTCCTGGCACCAGCCCCTGCCTGTGCTGCAACCCGCGTCCTGCCTGTGATGGTCCCTCCCTTCGGGGGACATGCCCTCCTCGGGGTGGCTGGCTTCTGGTTGTCAGTCACCCCCTGGAGAAGGTATGGCTGTCCTCTTTAAAGGGGGTTCTCGCATCGCAGCTGCATGTGCCCCCTCCCTAGCTTCCGGGCTGATAGCTGTTGCCTGAAACCCACCCCACCCCACCCCCCAGCCCTATCACTCACCCTCGTCTATGGACCAAACACCCAGGAGGCTCCCATAAAGACTTGGTGGACAAAGAGGTTTGCATAAGCCACTGTCTGCTGGTGGGTTGATGGGATGGACGGGGTGCACTCTGCAGTGTGAGTCTGGGGAGTGGGGGGCCTAGCATGAACTCTGCTGGGCTGGGCGGGCCCAGCACACCCTCCACCCTGGGTTGGCCCTGACAGAGCCCCCCCCCCCCCCGCTCTGTGCCCGCAGCACCGGCAGCTGCTTAAGGACAGCTTCATGGTGGAGCTGGTGGAGGGGGCCCGCAAGCTACGTCACGTCTTCCTGTTCACCGACCTGCTCCTGTGCACCAAGCTCAAGAAGCAGAGCGGGGGGTGAGTGACAGCCGAGGGGGCGGGGAGGGGGACCTGCTCCACTCCCACCTGGACAAGATACCCGGGTCAAGGTCAGCAGTTTGTCAGTAAGTCTGGAGAGGTTTCCCAGCGGGACTGGGGATGGCTTTGACTCCTGTAGAGAAGGGGGAATTGGTGAATGACAACTCAGGGGGCTGCAGAGACTGGTGCAGGCTGGCCCTCCCCTGCCACGGCAGACATCACTAGGTGATCACCGCGCTGTGTCTCTCCAAGCCTAGAGATGGATTCTACGTGAGTCTCAGCATAGGCCAGGGAGGCCTCCTGCCCCTCAGGGGTCAGGTTCACCCGGGTTGGAACTGAGCAAACAGTTGCGTTTGGCAGGGCTGGAGCTGGGTTCTCCCTCCTGGTTCTGTGATTGCCCTGCTCAACAGGTTTAACCAATCAACCCAGAGAGCCTCAGTTCCCCCCACCCCTTGACCCAGAAGGGAGACTTCAGGGGAGTTATGGGAAGGGAAATTTATGAGCATATTTTGGTGCAAAAAGATTTTTTGAAACCCATGCATATGTTTTCATTTAAAAAAAATTCATGGTAAATGCAAGAATTTCATATATTTTTTTTGGATGCCGTCTATCTTTAATTCCATATTCCGTGAATTTTGTGAAGTGCCGTTGTGCCGGGTAGCTCTGTGGCCCCTCATGCTCCCACGGGAGCTGCCAGCAAAGGAGCACGTAATAAGGTGGATCAGTGCTCCCCAGACGCCCGGGACCCGGGTCAGGTGGGCAGAGCGTTCCCAGGCACTGCGGCGTCTGCGCGTGCCGCATCCGGCCTCTCGCGCGGGGCATGCAGGTGCACAGCCACAGACAGCCGCTAGCGAAGGCCAGCGGTCAGCACAGTGACCTTCTCCTTCTTCCACCCAGCAAAACCCAGCAGTACGACTGCAAATGGTACATTCCGCTCACGGACCTCAGCTTCCAGATGGTGGACGAGTCGGAGGCCACACCCAACCTCCCCCTGGTGCCCGACGAGGAGCTGGACGCCCTGAAGGTCAAGATCTCCCAGCTCAAGAGTGACATCCAGAGAGAGAAGGTGAGGGCCGGCGCTCGGGCTGGGCGTCCCCGATCCCACCCCTAGAGAGAGTGAGGGCAGGCTCCCCCCCACACCAGAGAAAGGAGGTGAGGGCAGGCCCCCAAAGAGAGAAGGTGAGGCCAGCATCCCCCACCCTTACCCCTAGAGAGAGTGAGAGAAGGCTCTACCACCCCCAGAGAGAGGAGGTGAGGGCCGGCACTCGGGCTGGGCATCCCCCACCCCACCCCTAGAGAGAGTGAGAGAAGGCTCTACCACCCCCAGAGAGAGGAGGTGAGGGCCAGCACTCGGGCTGGGCGTCCCCCACCCCACCCCTAGAGAGAGTGAGGGCAGGCTCCCCCAACACACCAGAGAGAGGAGGTGAGGGCAGTCTCCCCCCACGCACACACAGAGGAGGTGAGGGCAGGCTCCCCCAACATACCAGAGAGAGGAGGTGAGGACAGGCTCCCCCCCACACACACACAGAGGAGGTGAGGGCCAGCTCCCCCCCACCCAGAGAGAGGAGGTGAGGGCTGGCTCCCCCATACACACACACAGAGGAGGTGAGGGCCGGCTCCCCCCCACCCAGAGAGAGGAGGTGAGGGCAGGCTCCCCCCACACCCAGAGAGAGGAAGTGAGGGAAGGCCCCCCCCCGACACACAGAGGAGGTGAAGGCAGGCTCCCCCACCCTACCCCTAGAGAGAGGTGAGGGCAGCCCCCCCCCCCCAGAGAAAGGTACGGGCCGGCAGCTCTGGCTGGGCGTCCCCCACCCCCTGGGACCCCTGTGAGTGATGGCATCTGGTTACAGCCAGGTTCCAGGTTGTTTTTGAGGGGCCCCCAGCTAGGCTGGGGTTCCAATATCAGAGCAGCTACAAGGCGGCGCCCATGGGAAGTAGCCAGGAGCCAGACATGGGTGTTCCCGCTGTGTCTTTGCCGGGACAGCTTCTTGTGCCTGGTAGACAGCTTCAGGCCGCGTGGTTCGACCCGTGACCTGGACTCTGTCACCCAGGAACCGTGTTGATTCTGGCACACGCCATTGTGGCTTCTGCCTGACCCTGTCGTCCAGTTTACACCACTCCGGCCCTGGCTCTGGTGCCAGGAGCCTGACCCATCTCCCCAGTGTCCCAGGGAAGAATCCCTCGCTGGGGTAAGCCCTGGCTCTGTGGATAGGAGGTCCAGATGCAGTGCACCACAGTAGGGAGCAAGTTCAAAGGCTTTGAGATCCTGGACCTCCTGGGTCATAGGAGGTGGGAATGGAGAGTCAGGAGGAGAGAGAGAGCGAGAGAGAGAGAGAGAGCGCGCACAGGGCCCCTGGTGTATACAGTTGATCCTTCAACAGCTTAAGGGCTAGTGGTGCCAAATCCTGCACATTCAGAAGTCTCTGCCTGTCTTTCCTTTGAGAAGCAGAAAGACACAGATACCCCGTATGCCCGCAACAGCCGGGGCCGGGCTGCAGCCAAAGCTGGGAGCCAAGAACCCAGTAACGTTGGTGCAAATTTTAGGTTTTTTTGTTTGTTTGTTGTTTTGTTTTGTTTTGTTTTGTTTTGTTTTGTTTTGTTTTTGACAGGCAGAGTGGACAGTGAGAGAGAGAGACAGAGAGAGAAAGGTCTTCCTTTGCCGTTGGTTCACCCTCCAATGGCCGCTGTGGCCGGCGCACCGCGCTGATCCGATGGCAGGAGCCAGGAGCCAGGTGCTTTTCCTGGTCTCCCATGGGGTGCAGGGCCCAAGCACCTGGGCCATCCTCCACTGCACTCCCTGGCCACAGCAGAGAGCTGGCCTGGAAGAGGGACAACCGGGACAGAATCCGGCGCCCCGACCGGGACTAGAACCCGGTGTGCCAGCGCTGCTAGGCGGAGGATTAGCCTAGTGAGCCGCGGTGCTGGCCAATTTTAGGTTTTTAAGACTTGCTTTTCGGGGCCGGCATCGTGGTACAGCAGGTTAAGTTGCCACCTGAGACGCTAGCATTCCACATAAGCGTCAGTTCAACTCATGGCTGCTCCACTTCTGATCCAGCTCCCCTCTAACGCACCTGGGAAAGCAACAAGGGATGGCCCAAGTGCCTGGGCGCCTGCCACCCACGTGGGAGTCTTGCATGGTATTCTAGGCTCCTAGCTTTGGCCCTGATGATCGCTGAGACCATTTAGGGAGTGAATCAGCAAATGGAAGATTTCTCTCTCTCTCCCTCTCTCACCCTTCTCCCTCTCTCCATGTAACACTGACTTTTAAATAAGTAAGATTTCCCGGTCGGGGCGCCGGATTCTGTCCCGGTTGCCCCTCTTCCAGGCCAGCTCTCTGCTATGGCCAGGGAGTGCAGTGGAGGATGGCCCAGGTGCTTGGGCCCTGCACCCCATGGGAGACCAGGAAAAGCACCTGGCTCCTGGCTCCTGCCAGGATCAGCGCGGTGCGCCGGCTGCAGCGGCGGCCATTGGAGGGTGAACCAACGGCAAAAGGAAGACCTTTCTCTCTGTCTCTCTCTCACTGTCCACTCTGCCTGTCAAAAAAAAAAAAAAAAAATATTTTTTTTCATAGGGTCTCACATGGGTAACAGGAACCCAGGGACTCTGGGGTGGGATGAGGGCATTTTAACCACTAGACCAAACACCTGACCCTCTGTATAATTTTTTTAAAAGATTGATTTATTTATTTGAAAGTCAATATTACAGAAAGAGACAGACAGATCTTCCATCCGTTAGTTCACTCCCCAGATGGCCATGATGGCTAGCACTGAGCCAGGAGATTCATTCAGGTCTCCAGTGTGAGTGGCAGGGGCCCACCAGCTTGGGCCATCTTTCTGCTGCTTTTCCCAGGTGCATTAGCAGGAAGCTGGATCAGAAGTAGAGCAGCCGGAACTGGAGTGGGTGCTCATATGGGATGCCAGCATTGCAGGCGACAGCTTTACCTGCTACGTCATAACACAGGCCCTGTAATTTTTTTTTAAAGATGTATTTATTTATTTGAAAGAGGTACAGAGAGAGAGAGAGAAAGGTTTTCCGTCCACTGGTTCACTCCCCAAATGGCCACATCAGCCAGGCCTGGACCAGGCCGAAGCCAGGAGCTTCATGCAGGTCTCCTATTGGATGCAGGGGCCAACTTCCTCTGCTTTCCCAGGCACATTGGGAAAGCAGTGGAAAATGGCCCAGGTGCTTAGGCCCCTGCACCCATGTGGGAGATGTGGAAGCAGCTCTCAGCTCCTGGCTTTGGATTGGCCCAAACCTGGCCGTTGCAACCATTTGGGAAGTGAACTAGCGGGTGGAAGACCCCTTTCTCTCTGTCTCTTTCTGTCTCTCTCTTTGTAACTCTGCCTTTCAAATAAATGAATCTTAAAAAAAATAAAATAAAGAGAAGGAAGGAAGAAAGGCTCAAGCAGGCCGTGGACAGCCCAGAACTCAGAACTGTCCAGGACATGGAACAGCAGGAGGTACCCTTCTGACCCCTTCCAGTGGCACCAGTCCCAGGTGGGGAGTGCAGCTCTCCGGGTGTGGACTGTGGGCCCGTGGTTCTTTCTGGGGAGCTTTAGGAGATGGTAGAAGTACTGAGAGTGCATCCGCGACATCATTGTGAGCCCCCAGGCCCGAGCAGGGGCCATGCAGCGGCCACAGGCGAACTGGGTCCCTGGGAGACTGGCCTTGGTCCATGCACACCTGGCTACAGTGCACACAGCAGGACAAGAGGTTCCCCCTCGGCTCTCACCTAATGCAAGCTCAGTACATCTGGGAGCAGGTGGGGAGCGACAGGTGAGGCTTGGGAAGCCCGGGACTGGGGTGCACACAGTAGGTTGTTTATTCACCCAGGTGGGCTGGCAGAGTGTCCCCACGTACTCCATCCCATGCTTGATAACCGTGTCAGCCGTGACCAGCCCCGGCCTGGAGCTATGCAGAGCGGCCAAGAGTTGAGGCCCAGGCAATGGCTGGGGGGACTTCCAGGGCCGGGCCAGGTGGCAGCAGGTAGCACAGGGCCCAGGACGGAAAGCTGAGCTTGTGGCTTCTCTCCCGCAGAGGGCCAACAAGGGCAGCAAGGCCATGGAGAGGCTGAAGAAGAAGCTGTCGGAGCAGGAGTCGCTGCTGCTGCTCATGTCTCCCAGCATGGCCTTCCGCGTGCACAACCGCAACGGCAAGGTGAGCGTGCCCGCCGCGCCGTCTCCCTCGGGGCTGCCCTGTGCTGGCTCGGGTCCCTGGGCTCACACGCAGCGCTCTCAGAGAGAGAGAGAGACTCGTCCCAGCATGGCACAGGCAAGCACCCAGGGCAGGGTCTCCAGGGCGTCTGAACAGGGTGGGGGCCCTCAGGTCTGTGCCACCCAGATTAACCCAAGGCCGGAGAGGCAGCTTGTCTGCTGAGAGTCTGGCTCCTGGTGCCAGGGGGGGCCTGGGCCTCTCCTTCCACGGGCGTCACACGCACCTCTCACCGTGCACAGTGGTTTGGTCTCCAGCATATGGTACAGGGAGGGAGGCAGTGATGGGCTCTGCAGGAGCCTCATCTCCAGGTCTCTGCATGGGGAGCCGCTCAGGTCAGCACCCGCCCACCCCTTCTGCAGATCCAACCCCCAGGTTCCTCAGCTGGCCGCCCTCTGCCAGCATCACCCTTGGGCCCCAGCAATCCGGACACAGGCCCCTGAGGTGCACAGGTGCACAGCTCGGCTGGGAGGTACGCGTGCGCCCTGGCCCCAAGGCACCTCAGAATCACACAGGGCCCTGGCTCAGCCCTGGGGTGGAGATAACTGGTGTGCATCCTCCATTTCTGCCACCCTAGAGTTACACATTCCTGATTTCCTCCGACTACGAGCGTGCCGAGTGGCGAGAGAACATCCGGGAGCAGCAGAAGAAGTGTGAGTGGCTCCGGCCAGGGTCTCTGGGGGCTGCAGGAATCAGCCTCTCCTCTTGTAGCCTTTTTAAAATTTTTATTTTTTAAAAAGAATTATTTGTGGTGTCAGTGCTTTGGCATAGTAGGCTAAGCCTCTGTCTGTGGCACCAGCATCCCATGTGAGCACCAGTTGCTCCACTTCTGATCCAGCTCCCTGCTAATGGTTTGGGAAAGCAGTGGAAGATGGCCCAGGTGCTTGGGCCCCTGCAGCCACAGAAGAGACCTGGAAGAGGCTACTGGCTCCTGGCTTTGGCCTGGCCCAGGCCCGGCCATTGCAGTCATTTGGGGAGTGAACCAATGGATGGAAGACCTACCTCTGTCTCTCTTTGTGTAACTCTGCCTCTCAGATAAATAAATCTTTAAAAAAAAAAAAAAAAAAAAAGATTTGTTTATTTGAAAGAGTTACAGAGAAGGTGAGCCAGGGGCAGAAATAGAGAAAAATCAATCTTCCTTCCACTGGTTCACTCCCCAGATGGCCGCAACACCCAGGGCTGGGCCGGGCCAAGCCAGAGCCAGGAGCCAGGAGCTTCTTCCAGGTCTCCCATGTGGTGTAACCTTCTACACCATGGCGCCAGCCCCAAAGATTTATGTATGTATATATAACGCAGAGAGGGAGGGAGAGACAAAGGTCTTCCATCCACTGGTTCCCTACCCAAATGGCTACAGCAGCCAGAGCTGGGCAGATCTGAAGCCAGGAGCCAGGAGCCAGGAGCTTCTTCAGGGTCTCCCATGTGGGTGCTGAGCCCCAAGCACTTGGGCCATCGTCCACTGCTTCCCCAAGCCATTAGCAGGGAGCTGGATCAGAAGTGGAGCAGCCGGGACTCAAACTGGTGCCCAAATATGACGCTAGCACTGCAGACTGGCAGGCTTAACCCATTCCATTGCAACAGCAGCCCCTGCTTCTGTAGCTTTAAAGCTTTTTTTCCCTTTAAATGGGCCTTTATCCAAGTGCAATATTACATGGAGTCTTAATTTAGAAAAGAAGTGGACGGCAGGTCCTTGGCCTACCTGTTGAGACTGCCACATCCCACATCCGGGTCCCTGAGTTCCAGTCCCGACTCCAGCTTCCTGGGAGGCAGTGGTGATGCTTCGAGTAGTTAAATCCCCACCACCCGCCTGGGAGACCCCAGCTGAGTTCCCAGCTCCTGGCCTCGGCCCCAGCCATTGAGTGCCTTTGGGGAAAGAGCCAGTGGAGAAGAGCTCTGTCTGTCTCCGTTTCTGCCTCTCAGGGAGAACATTTTTTTAAACAGAGAAGTTGGGGAGGGGCTGTCCTGATTGGCTCCCAGCCCCTGATGTCACCACCTACCACGGTCCCACCCCCTTAGTCCTGGCCCCACCCACCCAGTCCCCTTGTGCCTCCATGCCCCCACCTGCCCTCCAGGCTTCCCCTCTGAACCCCCTCTTGAATTCCTCACCTGCCACTCATGACTCACCCCCCTCCCATGCCCCCCCAGGCCTTTCCCACAGACCCCTCCCCAACACCCTGTGCCCTTGGCCTCCCCAGTCTCCCCTCCCCCGCCTGCCCCACAGCAGGTGCTGGTGCTGAAGGGGCCTTTGCTGGCCTCACGGCAGCCCTGGGACAGGGCAGGGTCTGCCTCCTCCCTGCAGCCCGCCTTCCTTCTCTGAGCACTTCCATCTTTACTTCTCCCGAGCTCCCAGCTGTACCCCTGCTATCTCCTGGTGGGGGTGGGGGATGGGAAAGCAGACTCTGCCCCAGATCCTCTGGCGGACCAGGGTCGGGAGCACTTGGGGTTCGCCTGCTGCACACAGATGCTGGGCTGGGTCGGGGGGGTCGCCTCGTGCCTCTGACCTGGCCTGGGCTCCCATCCCTTCAGACCCATCATTCACACCTGTGCTGAGCCACATCTTCCCCGCACCCACCCAGTGCCACCAGTGGCCTGGCCATGGTGCAGGGAGCTCCTGCCAGGGCCTGCGTCCCCTGATTTCCTGTTATAAGACACGGGAACCCAAACTGCGTCCACACGTGCCAGCTTCTGTCCCCCGGCTCAGTGTTGCACCCCGAAACAAAGCCAGTGGAGAGACGGCGGCCTGCATTAGCAGGGGACAGAGCCACCGGATGGGGTCAGCCCTGCCCTGTGACTGTGCCTGGGCGACAGCAGTGTGTGTGTCGGGGGGGTCGTGGGCTCCCCAGGGTCTTGCTCTGCTGCTGAGACAAGCTCTTCACCTGGGAGCCAGCAGGCACCCCCTACACCCCCCAGCCGCTGACCCCTGCTGGGGTCTCCACACCCTAGGGTGTGGTGAGGGTCGACCAGGAGGGACAGGGAGGCCCAGGAGCAGGGGGCGCTAACGGCCGGTGTTTCCGTTTTCTGTTTTCCCTCTCGTGTCCGCCCTCGCAGGTTTCAAAAGCTTCTCTCTGACGTCCGTGGAGCTGCAGATGCTCACCAACTCCTGCGTCAAGCTGCAGACCGTCCACAGCGTCCCGCTGACCATCAACAAAGAAGGTGGGGCCTGGGCACGGTGGGGCGCGGGGGGCTGGGCAGTCAGCCAGCGAGGGCCCTCCGAACCCCCACCGATCCTGCTGTCCCCAGCCGACGCCCCTCCGCTCGTCAGGGTCCGCCATCCACTCCCAGGAGTTGTTTCTCCTCCCCTGGCGACTGCGGCCGGGCCGTTGAGGAAGCAGATGGCTTCCTACCCTGGTCACAGGGCCTGGGATGCACGCTTGCCTCCCAGACCCTCTGTGCTGTGGATCTGGCCCCTGCTCGGCCGGCGCCTCCACCCACCCCCACTGCCCGCCTCTCACCTGGACACTTGCTGGCCACACTGCTGGGTCGTATGGAGCTTGCATTCACTGTTGCATGTGTGCTCACACAGGCATGCACTCATGTACACACACGGGGGCACATACATGTACAGCAAACACGTACCCCACACCACCCCCGTGGTCCTTGGAGCCTCCATGCCTTCTGTCTCAGTCCCTGGTTTGCCCGTGCCCGAGACACTGCCTTGCCGGGTTCTGAAGCAGAGCCAGGCTGTCAGCCACCTCCCTCCCTTCGGCCAGCGGCTCACCTCTGACCTCTTATGCAGATGATGAGTCTCCAGGCCTGTACGGCTTCCTGAATGTCATCGTCCACTCAGCCACCGGATTCAAGCAGAGTTCCAGTAAGTGAGTGGTCTGGGGGAGGAAGGCCAGGTGGCCGAGCCAGGGTCTTCCCCTGAGGAAGGGTTGATGGGCAGGGCGTAGGGGAGCCAGGGACAGCGTTCTGATGACCCGCAGGTGGCTTGACCCACCCTGACCGACTGCTCTGAGGGGCTGCTGCCGGGTGGTGGTGGTGTGTATCCTTGGCTTCTCTCCACCCCTCCGGGAGTCAGCTCTGCCCTTCTGTCTCAGATCCTGCCAGCTGGTAAGCTGCCCCCTGCAGGTGGTTCTTGTAATTGCAGGGATTGAGAGCAGCCGGGCCAGTAGAGCAGGCAGCTGCTCTGTGGAGTGGCACCGATGCTACACCTGTCCTGCTCCCCACCCTCCCCCCTGCAAGGGAGGGTTCTCCCAGCTGCTAACGCCGTCCGCACAGCCGAGGCTGCTTGTGTTTGGTCTGCTGACCTCTCTCAGCGTATGCCTGGCTCCTGGGGTCTGTAGTAGGACAGCATGGGGCAGGCACAGCTCTGAGTCTCAGAGACAGAGAAAAAGGACGAGACAGAGGTCTTCCATCCACCCATTCACTCGCACCGGTGCCCACAGGGGATGCCGGCATTGCAAGCGGTGGCTTTACCCGCTACGCCACAGCACCAGCCCTTCTAGGAGCCTTTTCTTTCCACGGTTGCTGCAAACCAAAACAAGAAACCTCCACCAAGCCACAGAATGGGGAATAGTATTTGCAATGTGTGAGATAACTCTGGGTCCAGATTAGGATTTGTGTACAGAACACGTAAAGAACTCTGACAACCCAATACTGAGGCACAGCCCAGGTTTTAAAATGAGCACAAGACTTGGATAGATTTCACCAAAGAAAGGTGTGTAATGAAAAAGCACACACTGCGGCCAGGGCTGTAGCACAGTGGGCTAAGCCTCTGCCTGCGGTGCTGGCATCCCCTGTGGGCACCAGTTCATGTCCCAGTTGCTTCTCTTCTGATCCAGCTCTCTGCTTATGGCCTGGGAAAACAGCGAGAGATGGCCCAAGTCCTTGGGGCCCTGCACCCACATGGGAGACCCGGAAGACGTTCCTGGCTCCTGGCTTTAGCCTAGCCCAGCCCCAGCAGTTGCAGCCTTCTGGGGAGCTCCGGCCGCTGCAGGCATTTGAGGAGTGAACCAGTGGATAGAAGACCTCTCTAGTGCTCTCTCTCGCTCTCTCTCTCTCTCTGCAACACTTTCAAGTAAATAAGTAAATCTTAAAAAAGAAGAAGAAAAGGCTCCTAGAACTGTGCCTGCCCCGTACTGGCCATTGTAGCCTCCTGGGAAGAGACTAGTGGATGAAAGATATTCCTCTGCCTCTCTCTCTCTCTCTCTCTCTGACTTTCAAGTAAATAAAATAAATCTTTAAAAGAAAAAAAAAGGAAGGAAGTTAAGCCCCTCATCGCTTAACCCAGTAATTCCTACTCTGTGAATTCACTTTAGGGGCTGGTGTTGTGGTACAGTGGGTTAAGCAGCCTTCTGCAGTGCCAGCATCCCATATGGGCACCGGATTGAGTCCCAGCTGCTCCACTTCCAATCCAGCTCCCTGCTATGGCCTGGGAAAGCAGTGGAAGATGGCCCAAGTCCCTGGGCCTCTGCACCTACATGGGAGACCCAGAAGAAGCTCCTGGCTTCCACCTGGTCTAGCTCTGGTTGGTGTGGCCATTAGGGGAGTGAACCAGCAGATGGAAGATCTCTCTTTCTCTGTAACTCTGTCTTTTAAATAAATAAACAAGTCTTTAAAAAACACTTACTTTATAGAAGTGAAATCGAGAAAGCCTTGAGTGGGTGCAGCGTGGTCTGTCCGTGCTGCGGCTCAGTGGCCACAATGAAAAGAGAGGGACTGAGCCGGCGCCGCAGCTCACTAGGCTAATCCTCCACCTTGTGGCGCCGGCACACCGGGTTCTAGTCCCGGTCAGGGCGCCGGATTCTGTCCCGGTTGCCCCTCTTCCAGGCCAGCTCTCTGCTGTGGCCCGGGAGTGCAGTGGAGGATGGCCCAGGTGCTTGGGCCCTGCACCCCATGGGAGACCAGGAGAAGCACCTGGATCCTGGCTCCTGCCATCAGATCAGCGCGGTGCGCCGGCTGCAGCGGCGGCCATTGGAGGGTGAACCAACGGCAAAAGGAAGACCTTTCTCTCTGTCTCTCTCTCTCTCTCACTGTCCACTCTGCCTGTCAAAAAAAAAAAAAAAAAAAAGAGAGAGAGAGGGACTTGTGGAGTCAGCTGCGTGGGCATGAAAAAGCACTGTGCTAAACAAAGGGAGCTTGGGGCAGGAGATGGCACACTGGGTTGTCCTGTGGCTGGATCTCCCATGTGACTGGAAGATTCCCAGGGTGCCCACCAGCAGGAAGCCAGAACTGGGAACAGAACCAGAACCCAATCCCAGGCGCCCTGGTACTGGCTGGCATATCAATCACTAAATCAAATACCTGCCCCTGTACTAGTGTGGTGTAGGCAGTTACAGAGAGGGAGAGACAGAGAGATGTCCCATGCACTGGTTCACTCCCCCAGATGACCACAAAGGTTGGGCCTGGGCCAGTCTAAAAGCCAGAGCCAGGAGCTTAGGGCTTCATCCGAGTCTCCCGTGTAAGCGGCAGGAGCTCAAGCACTGGAGCCATCTTCCACCACCTCCCCAGGTGGGTTAACTTAGCAGGGAGCTGGCTCGGAAGTGGAGAGCCGGGACTCAAACCGGTGCTCACGTGGGATCGGAGCTTAACCCACTGCGCCACAAGACCGCTGCTTTCTGACTTTGAAAAACATTCAAGCTCTCATACGGGGTAAAAAAGCACAGTGCCCCCTCTCCCCGTCACCTTCCCACAGATCTCTACTGCACCCTGGAGGTGGATTCCTTTGGGTATTTTGTGAATAAAGCAAAGACGCGCGTCTACAGGGACACCACGGAGCCCAACTGGAACGAGGTGAGGAGCCAGGTTTGCTTGCACAGAATGTAAACATCCACACCCAGGGGTTCCTGAGGGCTTCCCCAGGCGATGCGCGCATTCCGGGAATGTCCTGAGACGTGCAGATGTTTTTATCGCCTGTGTTCCTAAGAATCTGACTCTCACTGCCCCCCTTCAGCAAAGAAACAGTTTTGCTTTTTTTTTTTTTTAATGGAGAAGTCTTTGGAAAGAGAACTTAAAAGGCCTGCTCATCCTGCCTTTGTTAAGGCTCAGTGTTTACTTGTTGGTTGCCATAGCAGTTTTTCCTCTGAAGTTGGCAGGAACCTCTGGGTTTAGGGCTGGGGTGGGGGTGGGGGGAGCTGGACTTTGTCCATGTGGAGGAGGAGCGGAGCCGGGTTGGGGACCAGGGATCCTGTTCCTGCCTCTCAGGGTTCTGGGTTTGTGGAGCTGCAGTTTGTCCTCTGCTTTCCCCCATCCCGGATTGGTGCTTAGGTGTTTGGCCTTGAGCCTTGAGGAAGGGAGGGGTGATTGCCCCGGAGGCCAGGATGGACCCAGTGCCCAGATGCTGAGAGGTATAGATGTCCCTCCTGTGCTTCGTTGTGTTCCTGGAGGCCACCGGGCCACGGAGAGTTGCCTCCCCATAGAGGAGGGTGCTGCACCATCCCGCACCCAGAGCCAGGGTAGGGGTGGAGGGGTGCTGCGCCATCCCACACCAGGCTGTGTGATAAAGTGGAAGGAGCACTGCAGCCGGAAACCAGGAATCCTCATTCAACATCCACTTTTAAAAAAATTTTAAAAATTTATTTATTTATTTGAAAAGCAGAGTTACAGAGAGGCAGAGAAAGAGAGGTCTTCCATCCGCTGGTTCACTCCCCAAATGGCTGCAATGGCCGGAGCTGGGCCGATCTGAAGCCAGGAGCCAGGAGCTTCTTCTGGGTCTCCCACGCGGGTACAGGGGCCCAAGGACTTGGGCCATCTTCTACTGATTTCCCAGGCCACAGCAGAGAGCTGGATTGGAAGTAGAGCAGACGGGACTCAAACAGGCGCCCATATGGGATGCCAGCATTGAAGGCAGCAGCTTTACCTGCTACACCACAATGCCAACCCCACAAACAAAATTTTTTTAATTTATTCATTTGAGAAAGAATTCCCCAAATGCCTACAATGACCAGGACTGGACCGGGCTGAAGCCAGGAGCCCAGAACTCCATCTGGGGTCTCCCACGTGGGTGGCAGCAACCCAGCCATGTGAGCCATCACCTGCTGCCTCCCAGGTTGCACAGGAGCAGGAAGCTGACAGCGGCAGCAGAGCTGAGACTCAAACCCAGGCATTCGGGTATGGGATGCCGTGTCCCAGCTGGTGTCCTCGCCACTGTCTGTCAGTAATTACACTTGGCTGAACGGGACGTGGCCACAAGGGGCCTAATTAAATGGCCTACTCAGCATGACTCTACACATACCTATGACGAGGAGAAGGGATCAGAGCCATGTGGGACCCATCAGGGAAGGCTGTGCAGGGAGTGGGAGGCCGTGACCGGTGGAAGCAACCGGTGAGGGTTCTAGGCGTTGTGCAGAAGGGTCAGGTGCCAGTCAGCCATGCAGGCTTGAGAAGGGAGGTACAGAGGCAAAGGCGCCAAGGTCTCCGTGGTGTCAGACCAGCAGGGGCCACCCATGCCTGGTCATCAGAGGGGGCCTGCTTGTTCCTGGCACACACACCCATCCTCTCAGGCCCAGCAGGCCTCTTGCAAGCCTGGGGGATACCTTGCCTCTCGCTTCTGTCACCTCCCAGGGGTCACTTTGTCTTCCCTTATCTTAAGCAGAACTTTTTAAAAGACTTATTTATTTTATTTATCTGAGAGGCAGAGTTACGGACGGGGAGGGGGGTCTTCCATCCACTGGCTCACTACCCAAATAGCCACAAGGGCCGGAACTGGGCCAGGCCAAAGCCAGGAACTTCTTCCAGGTCTCTCATGTGGCTGCAGGGGCCCAAGCACTTGGGCCATCTTCCACTGCTTTCCCAGGCAATTAGCAGAGAGCTGGATTGGAAGTATAGAAGCCAGGTCTCAAACTAGCATCCATATGGGATGCCGGCACCTCAAGCTTAACCTACTGTGCCACAGTGCTAGCCCCTAATTTTTTTTTTTTTTTTGGACAGGCAGAGTTAGACACAGAGAGAAAGGTCTTCCTTTTCCGTTGGTTTACCCCCTAAATGGCCGCTACAGCCGGCGCACTGCACCAATCCGAAGCCAGGAACCAGGTGCTTCCTCCTGGTCTCCCATGCGGGTGCAGGGCCCAAGCACTTGGGTGATCCTCCACTGCCTTCCCGGGCCACAGCAGAGAGCTGGACTGGAAGAGGAACAACTGGGACAGAATCCGGCGCCCCAATCGGGACTAGAACCCGGGGTGCCGGGGCCGCAGGTGGAGGATTAGCCAAGTGAGCTGCAGCGCCAGCCCCCAATTTTTTTTTTTTAGTGGATGATCCACATTTTTGTTTTTGTTTTTTCTTTTTAAAAGATTTAATTATTTGAAATAAAAGGAGACAGAAAGAGAGATCGTCCATCTGGTTCACTCCCCAGGGCTGGCAACAGCCAGAGCCAGGCTACGCCAAAGCCAGCAGCTGGGAACTCCATTCTGGCCTCCGGGGCTGGTGGCAGGGATCCAAAGTGCTTAGCCCATCACCCCGCTGCCTTCCCAGGTGCATTAGCAGGAAGACGGATCGGAAGCAGAGCAGCGGGGACTCGAACAGGCATTCTAATAAGGGATGCAGGCTTCCTAAGCGGTGGTGGGCTTAACCCACTGCTCTGATGCTGGCGCTGAGAACGTGTTTCCTAGGGCAATTTTCAGTTCACAGCACTGCTGGACAGCCCCAGAGTGGGATGTTTGTTAGACTCAATGAGCCCGGCCTGACACATTCTCATCACCCGGGGTCCACAAAGGGTCCCAGAACTAAGCGTGCGGGGTGGGGGTGGGGTCTCAAGGCAGGAGTCTGGCGGGACAGCCAGGCGCTGTTTGTGGGGAGGAGCTGTGGCTCGGCCTGCAGCACCGACCTCTGTACACACACACCTGTCTGCTCACTGCACACCTGTTCTCTCTCGGGGCCCGCAGGAGTTTGAGATAGAGCTGGAAGGCTCCCAGACCCTGAGGATACTGTGCTACGAGAAGTGCTACAACAAAACCAAGATGGCCAAGGAGGACGGCGAGAGCACCGACCGGCTCATGGGGAAAGGCCAGGTGCAGGTGAGGCTGCCCGTCCCTCCCTGAGTTCCAGAAGGTTCCCCACCCGGGGACACTGAGATGGCTCCCGGGGCAGTGGGCGTCTGCGCCTCTGAAATAACCCGGCCGGGCAGACAGGCTGCTGTTCCGTCTGCCGTCTGCTGGGCCGCTCCGCTCTCAGTGGATGCCAGGGTGGTTTCCCGATTGCGCTGTGCCGTGAGCACCGTGGTGCCAGGCTCTTTTGAGAACAAGTGTCTCAGCGTCTACTGCGTGGCGGTTGTTGGTCTGGGTGGACCCATGGCTTTGGATTTATTTGAAAGGCAGAGTGACAGAGCAGGAGAGACAGAAAGAAAGAGATCTGGCATCTGCTGGCTTAGTCCCTGAATGGCTACAACAGCCAGGACTGGGCCAGGCTGAAGCCAGGAAGTGCCGCTCTCCCCTTGTCCCATCGGGCTTACCTTTGACACTGCTTGCCACAGTGCCCCGGATTTTGACAGACTTATTACTTTATGCACACAGCCTGTGTTTTGGGGGTGGGCATTTGTTACGATGCCACTTGGAACACTCGCATCCTGGCATCCTGGGTTCGTGTCGCAGCTCTGCTGTTCGATTCAAACTTGCTGCCGATGCCCACCCTCCTGGGAGACCTGGGTTGAATTCCTGGCTCCTGGTTTCAACTTGGCCCAGCTCCAGCTTTTGCAGGCATTGTCAGGGAGCAAACCAGCAGGTGGGAGGTCTCTGTCTCTTTCTCTTCCTGTCTTGCAAATAACCCAAACTGGTAACAACCTGTGCTTTCCTCTTGGGCACCCCAGGGAGCACCAGCTGAAACCCCAGCCCCTTCTCCAGCAAGAGGAGTTAAGTGGCTGAGAAAAGTTAGAGCTGGGCGGGAGGTAGAGCAGCAGACCCAGGCCTTCCTCGGGGGCGGGGCTGCTGCATTGGGGGAGTTGAGCCTCAGGACAGCGCCCAACACAGCATGCACCAGTGGGGTTGTATTGCTTGGAAACAGCCTGGGGGTCCCTAGACTGAAAGTTAGGAATTTCAGGGGCCAGGGGCATCCTGGCTAAACCCACCTGATGGGATTCTGACAGGTGGTGACGGATGAGGAATTTGGTCAGATGCTGAGATTGAACCTATGTCAGATAGCGAGGGCGGGGCAGGGGGCGGTTTGCTCGGCCAACTTATGAGCAGGGCACTTGGCTGAGCCAGGATTTTTGTTTTTCCAAGGAAGCAAATACATGGACCTGCGAGAAGGTCGTGGAGCCTGGAGCCGGCTTGGCTGAACAAAGACTTTGTCATAAGATTTGGGAGGGGGGAGGGCCTCAGAGGGCGTGACTTCTCACTGCTGCTCCCAGGGCTAGCTCAGCAGGAACTCCCACCTGCCACCCATCCTCTCCTGTAGGCACCTGTCAGCCCCCAGGACCCAGGTGTGAAGCTGGGAGCAGGAGGGGTACAGGGAGGGGGGCATGGGCTCTGTTTAAAAAAAATCACTCAAGGGTGATGCAGCTAAAGCCCAGTAAGAAAGACTTTATTCAGGGTCAGGACCCCCACAGCAGGTGCAGTGACCACAGCACAGGGTTCTGAAGTCAGGGAGGAGGGGTTTGGGCTTCTCTCCAAGTGCAACCAGGAAGAGTGGGAATTTCCACCGTAGCAGGGGTGGGAGGCAGGGGTTACCAGGTGGAAAATTACTGGGAAGAACCATTGGGGCAGGGGGATTCTGGCTACACTGACCCAGCAGGATTCATCTGAAGAAGTCCTGGCCAGTGGCAGAGGATGCCAAATTTGATCGGCTATCAGGGGCAAGGGGGTTCTGGCTAAACTGATTTAGCAGGATTCTTGGCTAAACCTGAGCCCCCCCAGAGACATGTGCAAGACCCGGGGTGGGGGGCCTGGTTTGAAATAAATCGAGCTCAGGAGGAGAGAGCCTCAGTCAGCTCCGGGCCCCCCCCAACGCTGCGCCGGGCCTGTGCATCATGGTACTATGCGGCCCTGGGAACGTGAGGGGCCTGACCTGCCGCTCGCAAGCCTGGGGTACGTTTGCTGCTGCTGTTTTGTTTTTTTTTTTTTTTCTTGTTTGTCATCCGTGGAGAAGGGTGGGTCTGGCTCCGGTCCTCTGGTCACTCCCTGCCTGGCGTGGAGGGGAAGGTGACTGGGAAACGTGGCCCCCTCTGCCCGCCCCCCACCTCCTTAAATGGAAAGGATCCAGGCGCCGTGAAGGGCGTTTGTGACTCATGCAAAGAGGTGGCGCCTGGCCTGGCCTGGCCCCTGGAAACGCGGGTATTGGCTACCAGGGCTTGTTTGTGGGATCCCAAGAGGAAGGAAGGCAGAGGAGGGGTGGTGATGCCGACTGCCGGCGCCCTCAGGCCCCAGCCTGGCCTCGTCCCCCGCTCCCGCTCCCCCCTGCTTTCAGAGTCGGGCTACGTGGGAGAGGATGTCCACGTCCTGAGGAGCCCAGCCTTTTCCCGGGAACCACAGGTGCACACCTCAGTCGGGGTGTAGGGGAGGATGCAGGCTTGGGGGAGTATGTGTATGTGGCTGGCTCCACATCCAGGGAGTCTGTGGGGGTGCCCTGGACGCCGGCCCCCCAACCCCCACATGCACCTTGACCCAGAAGTGGGGTGAGAAGGCCGGCGCCGCGGCTCACTAGGCTAATCCTCCGCCTAGCGGCGCCGGCACACCGGGTTCTAGTCCCGGTCGGGGCGCCGGATTCTGTCCCGGTTGCCCCTCTTCCAGGCCAGCTCTCTGCTGTGGCCAGGGAGTGCAGTGGAGGATGGCCCAGGTGCTTGGGCCCTGCACCCCATGGGAGACCAGGAGAAGCACCTGGCTCCTGCCATCGGATCAGTGCGGTGCGCCGGCTGCAGCGCGCCGGCCGCGGTGGCCATTGGAGGGTGAACCAACGGCAAAGGAAGACCTTTGTCTCTGTCTCTCTCTCTCACTGTCCACTCTGCCTGTCAAAAAAAAAAAAAAAAGAAGTGGGGTGAGAAGACCCTTCTGTGAGCGCAGGCAGCCACTGGTCCAGGAGGGGCAGGCGCAGCGCCCTGCGTGGCCGAGCAAGGACAGGAAGAAATCCAGATGCTGCAGGGAGGAGCTGGGGTGGGAGGTGGAGCCTCTGGGCCTGGGCCGGATGCCATCTGTGTTCTGTTGCCCTGAGTGGCACTGACAAACTCCGGGTTGTAGCACCACGGGCTGTGCCTGCCAGTGAGCGTCCTGGGAGGATGGTCGTGTCCTGCTTCCCTTTTTATTTGTTTTGTTTTGTTTGAAAGGCAGACAGAGAGCTTCTCATCTACCGGTTCACTCGCCAAATGCCTACAACAGCCAGGGCAGGGCCAGGCCAAAGAGAAGGAGCCAGGAAGTCAGTCTGGTTCCTCCCATGTGGGTGACAGGAACCCAACCCTTTGAGCCATCACCTGCTGCCTCCCAGGGGACACCGCCATGCCCGGGCCAGCCACCCAGGGAAGAGCTGTGCTGGTGGCGCAAACTCCTGCCCTATGTGAGCAGGTGCAGAGGGCCCAGGTGAAGGGCCTTTCTAAGCCAGCCAGTGAATGAGGTCTCTGAGCAAGCAAGATTGTCCAGTCCACCCTCAGACACCAAGAATCTATGTGCTGCCTTCCTGCTCCTGGGGTCCCCGAGAATAGGAAGTCATCTGTGTCCCCAGGCTCTATCTGCAGAGCAGAGAGGCTGGAAAAGCTTGGATGGGGACAGACATTTAGCCTAGCAGTTAAGACACCAGTTAAGATGATGCTAATGTTAGCCGGTGTTATGTTGCAGTGGGTTAAGCCACTGCTTGTGACACTGGCATCCCATATAGTCCCAGCTGCTACACTTCCGATCCAGCTCCCTGATAGTGTGCCTGGGAAGGCAGTGGAAGATGGCCCTCGTGACTGGCATAGTGGGTTAAGCTACTGCCTGCAATGCTAGCATCCCATATGGGCACCGGTTCAAGTCTCGGCTGCTTCACTTCTGATCCAACTCCCTGCTAATGCACCTGGAAAAGCAGCAGAAGATGGCCCAAGTGCTTGGGCCTCTGCACCCATGTGGGAGACCTGGAAGAAGCTCCTGGCTCCTGGCTTCAGCCTGGACCAGCCCTGACTGTTGTGGTCATTTGGGAAGTGAACCAGCAGATGGAAGATGTCTGTCTGTCTGTCTGTCTGTCTCTCTCTCTCTCTCTCTCTCTCTAATGCGCCTTTCTAATAAATCTTAAAAAAAATAAAAAGATAGCCCTTGCCACCCATATGAGAGACCCATATGAAGCTCCTGGCTCCTGACTTCAGCCTGACCTAGCCCCAGCCATTGCAGCCATTTGGGATGTGTACAAATGGATGAAATCTCTCTCTCTCTCTCTCTCTCTCTCTCTCTCTCTCTGATTGCCTTTCAAATAAGTAAGTCAGATGAGTTAAGATCCCTGTGTGCTATGTGGGAGTATCTGATTCAAGTCCTGACTCTAGCTCCTGACTCCAGCTCCCTGCTAATGCAGACCCTGGGAGGCAGCAGTGATGGCTGAAGTCATTGGGTCCCTGCCGCCCCCGTGGGAGACCTGGATGGAGTTCCCAGTCCTTGCCACTGCAGGCATTTAGGGTGTGAAGCCGCACATGGAAGCTCACTGGCTCTATGTCTGTCTCTGTGTCTCTCAAATCAATCAATAAAAATAAGAGGTTTGGATGGCATTTGCAGGGTGAGGTCAGGGCACAGAGAAGCCTTCACAGAGGAGGGGCGCTGAGTCCAGGGGCATTTTCTAAGGTGAGGCATCAGCCTAAGTTCAAAACCACCAGGATCACGGGATCCATGGGAATGCATGAGACGCAGCAGAGCAGGAGGGCTTGTGGGAGGAGTCTGGTCAGGTGCATCAGGGGCAGGGATGGGGCCAAAGGCACTGTCCAGATGCCCAGCACATGCTGGGCTGGGCCCACAGTGCAAGCAGACCCTGCAGAAACTGCCAAGCCCAGGGCAGCTGGAGCCACACAGCCCCTGGGAGTTCAATTACTGCACTCTTTTTCCTTCTCTCTTCTCCCTTTGCAGATAGTCCCCGAGGTGTGCGGTTTCTCCTGCTCTTTTGAGCGCCTCGTGCCTCATTTACCACTAGGGGGCGCAAGGGTTGATTTTTGTTGTCGTTAATGTTTTATTTAAGATCTGGCGGCTGCACAGATGGTCTGGGATCTCTGGTTTGAGCTCAGCTTGACGTGAAGCTGATACTTGTAGCTGGCCATGTGTGGTCTCCCACACTTTCTTGCTGGCCCAGGTTGTGTGGAAACCCGACCAGGTGCAGGGCAGCAGGTCCAGCTGTCCCCCTCCTGGGCACCTCCCCATTCAAGTGACCACCCATTGTCGCTCGCTCCGGAGGCTCGCGGAGGAGCGGCAACGGATTTGCTGTTGTTTCTTTCCCCGGTCCTCCCCGGATTAGCTGCTGCCCCCCCACCCCGCCTCCGCGGAGGGGCGGCACCCCCCGCCGCTTCCCCCACTTCCGCGGAGGAGCAGCACACCGCCGGCCGGCTCTCTCAGATGTTCCTCCTGCATGTTGTCTCTCTCCTCCTTTAAGGTCCTCTTCCACCAATCCCAACTCTGCTAGCATTCTCTCCCCATGCGTTGAGCACGCTGCTCTCCTCCAATCAGGGGCAGGATTAGCTCCTGCAGCTTGTTAGTCGAATTGGTGAGGCAGCTGTGTGGAAGTTGTTTACTCCCTCTCAGTGCCATATGGTGGGAGATCAGATGCACAGTTAGTCTTAGCAGTTCCAGTAGTTTAGTCTAGTCTCGGTTGCTCCCCACAACCCATTCTTTTTTTTTTTTTTTTTTTAAGATTTATTTATTTATTTGAAAGGCAGAGTTGAGAGAGAGAGAGAGAGGTCTTCCATCCACTGGTTCACTCCCCAGATGGCTGCAACAGATGGAGCTGTGCTGATCAGAAGCCAGGAGCCAGGAGCTTCTTCCAGGTCTCCCACGTGGGTGCAGGGGCCAAGAACCTGGGCCATCTTCCACTGCTTTCCCAGACCATAGAAGAGAGCTGAATCAGAAGTGGAGCATCTGGGTCTTGAACCAGCACCCATATAGGGTGCTGGCAGTACAAGCGGTGGCTTTACCTGCTACGCCACAGCGCCGGCCCCGACCACCAATTAATTCCATGGCAGCTATCCCCCAAGAGTCCACTGACCTGGGCAGCAGCTGTGTGAATGGGGCAATGACCCCCAGACTGGGCCAGTCACACACAGCAGCATTGACTGTCACAGCCCCGAAGTGGAAGAACCCAAGTGTCCAGTGACAGATGAATGGGTAAGCAAAATGTGGTTCATCCATCCCGTGGAGGACCGTCCAGCCTTAAAAAGGAAGGAGGTTTGGACACATGCTGGGACGTGCATGAACCATGAGGACATTTCTGCTCTGTGAAATAAGCCAGCCATGAAGAGGCCAATGTTGGCTGTTCCCACTTAGACGAGGTATCTGAGGTTGGCAAATTCTTGGGCTGGCGTTCGGCACCGCAGTTAGGATCCCACGAGGGCCATCCACATTCCATTTTGGAGTCCCTGGGGTGGAGTCCCAGCTCCACCTCCAGTTCCAGCTCCCTGCTCGTTCCTGCAGCTGGTTGGGTGGGAGTCCGGGAGGGGATGACGTCTCAAGTGCCTGAGCCCCTGCTGCACACGTGGGAGACCTGGATTGAGTTCTGAGCTTTGACCTGGCCTGGACCTGGCTGTTGTGAGCATTTGGGGAGTGAAGCAGCAGATGGGAGAATCTGATGTCTGGGTCCTGGAGAGACCATACCCCCCCACCCTACCCCCCAGTATTAAAGAGGATTCTGTCATGGCCACGTGTGTCCCGTATACACAGCCACTCGGCTGTGCAAGGGCCTCCCACACAGGTGCAGGAGCCTAAGCAATTGAGCCATCTTCCACTGCTTTCCCAGGCCATAGCAGAGAGCTGGATTGGAAGTGGAGTAGCCGGGACATGAGAAAGAAATCTGCTCTCCATTGGATCACTATCACTCCCTAAATGGTTGCAGTAGCCAGGGCTGGGCCAGACTGAAGCCAGGAGCCAGGAACTTCTTCCAGGGCTCCCGCATGGGTGCAGGGGCCCAAGCATTTGTGCCATCTTCTGCTGCTCCACCAGGTGCATTAGCAGGGAGCTAGATCGGAAGTAGAGCAGCCAAGATTCGAACTGGAGCCCATATGGGATGCTGGCATTGCAGGCAGCAGCTTAACCCTCTACACCACAGCGCTGGCCCCATCCCTTAATTTTAGTGGTGCTGGAGACTGGTTGGGATCAGCAGAGCAGTGGAGAGAGAGAAGGCCACACTAGGGCTCAAGAGAGCAGATTTCATCATGGCAGTAAACCAGGAGGTCACAAGGGGAAGCCGGATTTCTCCTGCAGCGAGCAGAGGTTCCCTGGGAAGGCCTGCCCCCCCACCCCGAAGTGTGGGTTGCAGAGCCCATGTATGGAGCTCGGACAGCAGCACGTGGGCCATTAAGGAGTGGCTGTCCAAGAGGAGGCGAGTCGCTGGGGGAAGGACACTTGTCAGTCCACGTCCACCCCACCAGGCTGGGGCTGCAAAGCAAGCAGAACACAGCTGAGTCCTCAGCAAAGCCCTGATGCAAGGGGGGGAGTCAGGGACCCTGAAGGGACACACACCACCCCCCGCCGTCACCCCCCCCCTCCCCTGGGATGGATGAGCTGGGAAGGTTTCCAGGCAACTGTCTGCGCCAACCCCCCCCCCACCCCCCCGCCTGGGGAGATGAGCTGCAGCGTAGACTTCCTGAGGCCGTGGGGTGTGAGCTGTCGGTCGCATTCCTCACCAAGACCTCACAACCCAGAGGGGACCCTCCTCCGCGTCCCGTCCGAGGACTTCAATTGTCCCGTAACCGTTTCCTGTCTCTGGCCCACTCAGTCATTTGTTTTTCCAAACCCCCGTCTCTTGCTTGTTTTTCCTCTCGGTGTTTTAAATAACCACAGAGAGGGAGCCAGCGCTGAGGGGGGTGTGGGAGCTCTTCACACCGCCACTGCCCTGCTCGGTTCACTGTTTCTTGGCCACGTGTCCACCCTAGGTAGGAAGACCTTGACCCACTGGAGCCGCCCCGTCAAGACCACTAAGGTCAAGGTGCCCAGGGACCGCCACACAGAGCTGCAGACAGGGACCCAGTGGAGAACCGACCTGGCCGCCTGAGAGCCACAGGGGGTGGGCGCCAGGGCTGTGGGTCACCCCGATGGTTTGCTGATGAGCGGGGACCACACTCGGTGTCTTCTCTTCCCTAGCTCCGTGAGAGGCTGTGCACGTGGTTACTAGGGACACCGCCTGGGGTGGTCCAGGCACGGGGCAGACCTGCCAGTCCCACGCGTGTTACTCAGTGTCTCCAAGCCGGGGCCGCAGGAAACCAGCCCTTTGAAGAAGGAAGCTCAGCTTCAGGGGAGACAGCGACAGGCGGGATTCCCGTAACCACCGGGGGGAGGGGGGCGGGGGGGTTTCCCATACACCTCACCGGGGCTGATGGGAAGCCCCTGACCTTGGCCAGCCAGACTGCGGGGCGGGGCTTCCCTGGAGCCTGGTCAAAAGGCAGCAGGCGGCCAGGAGCCCAGCACTGTGCTGCTAGCTGTCCAGCCGTGCTGGCCCCTGGCATGCGCGAGTCTCCGTCGGCACGCACTGCCATGCAGGGCCTCCTCCGGTGCTTCCACCCCAAGCGGCAGGGACACAGCCTGATGGCCGCCGCAGAAAAGCACCTGTGTGCTCGAGGTACCGCCCTGTGGAGCCACATCCGAGACCTGGTGTGCAGGGGCCAGGTGGGCCATCGCGAGGACCGTGGTTGCTGGGTGGGCTGGGAGGGAGAGGGTCTCTGTCACCTGGGCGTCCACCCGGGAGACTGGTCCGGATTCTTTGGTGGGAGCTGCACCTTCTCTGGGCTTTGTTAAAGCTCATGGGGCCAGCCGGGGCCGGGGGGTCAGCTGCTTGGGAGGACGGGGAAGGGCAACCAGGACCCGGGAGTTGGGGGTGATGGCCAGCAAGTGCCTGTTGCCTGGGCTGGCCCCAGAGCCAAGAAGGACCCTGTGTTAGCCCCCTCCTCTGCCCATGGCAGAGACTTAGGGAGTCACTCTTTTTCATTTTGTTTTTGTTTTTAAAGATTTATTGAGGGGCCAGCGCTGTGGCATAATGAGTAAAGCTGCCACCTGTTTAAGTCCTGGCTGCTTCACTTCCAATCCAGCTCTCTGCTATGGCCTGGGAAAGCAGTAGAAGATGGCCCAAGTCCTTGGGCCCCTGCACCAACATGGGAGACCTGGAAGAAGCTCCTGGCTCCTGGCTTCGGATCAGCAGAGCTCCAGCCATTGCAGCCAACTGGGTAGTGAACCAATGGATGGAAGATCTATCAATCTCTTTCTCCCTCTTTCTCTCTCTCTCTCTCTCTGGCTCTGCCAGATTTATTGATGTATTTGAAAGTCCGAGTTACACAGAGAGAGGGAGAGACAGAGAAAGAGATCTTCCATCCATTGGTTCACTCCCCAGAGGGCCACAAAGGCTGGGGCTGGGCCAGGGAAAAGCCAGGAGCTTCTTTTGGGTCTCCCATGTAGGTGGCAGGGACCCAAACCCTTGAGCCACCCTCCACTGCTTTTCCCAGGCACATTAACAGGGAGCTGGGTCAGAAGTGGAGCAGCCAGGACTCAAACTGGTATCACAGGTGGCGGCTTAACCCCTTACGCCATAGCACCAGCCCCAGGGGTCACTCTTTGGAAGAGGCCCCATTTGGGAGATTTCTTCTTGAGTGGTTTGTATCTGACAGGTGCCAGATCCTGTCTCACAGGGTAAGGAGTGGGGTCCCTGTGGCCCCCATAAGATGCACATCTGACCCACCCGGCCCCTGGAGGCAGGTGTGCTGTCACCCTTTGGTCACCTGTCATCCTGGCTGCATGTGTCTGGCCCTGGGGAAATGTTAACCAACAGGACCCCAGGGAGGGGCAGGTGAGGGCTCACCGCCACCCCCACCAAGCCCAAGTGCAGAGAGCAGGGCCCAGGTGCCCACACCTGTGAGGTAGAGGCTGCTGTACTCCACAGCTCCTCCTTGTTTCTCAGCTGTGGCAGCTGCAGAAAGCCCAGGGGGCTGTGGCCGCTGGCATAATAACAGTCGCACCGCCGTGTGTGTGTGTGTGGCACCCAGCGGTCATGACGGGCGGTCACTGCTCAGACGCAGCTTGCCTGGCTGCCCGCGCCAGTGGCTCTCTGACCAGCTGGCTTCACGCCAGAGTCACCGCTCTGGGGGAGGTTCTCAGGGCACACGTGCCAGCCCCCTGCCCCCATCCGGAACTCAGGGTGCCGTCTGTTCCCCCCAGCTCAGCCAGGGCTAATTCAGAGCCTGCGTTCAGCAGAAAGGGGGAGACAGGGCCCCTGCATGGGGTGGGGAGGCACGTGAGGTTTGGCCGTGCGGGCTGTGGGGTTTTACAGCAGCTCTGGCTGTTCGTTCAGGGCACATTAAGTGCCAAGTTTGTGCAAAGCAGCTGCTTGGAGCAGGTTGGAGTTAGAGGGATTCCCTCCTGGCTCCCCTCACTAGCTGCGTGCCTTGCGGCTGCTCTGGATCCTTCTCGGCCCGACTCTAATCCATGGAATGGGCCTGGCGTCTCTTCCTGCCACGGGGCAGCCCATGGCGCAGGGAGAACCCGGTGTCTGATTCCCCAGATGGCAGCTCTGGGATGCCAGCCTCACCTCCACCCCCGGAAGCTGCGGCTGCCATTGAACTTCCAAAAGGTCCTTTAAGCCAACCATCGACCCCTCAGTGAGCACCTTACAGCACCTGTGCTGGGGGCAGGGGAGCCAGGTGGAGAGAGGCTACCAGCCTGGCCCTCAGTTCCCATCTGGAAGCAGCGGAGGGAGGAGCAGGTGCAGGGCCCGGAGCTGTCACTGACGCACAACCAACCTGGGTGAGCTCAGGCCCCAGACAGCAAAGGCCTGGAAGCAGCGGGGCCCTGAGCTCCCAGGACTGCTCGGCATCTGGTCCTCTGGCTCTCTGGAAAGAGTCGGGCCGTATTCATTGGCGGGCTGGGCCTCTGTTCACCAAGCCTCTTTGTTTCCAGCTGGACCCCCAGGCCATGCAGGACAGAGACTGGCAACGGACCGTCATCGCCATGAACGGGGTGAGTCCCCGAGGGTGCCCGGTTCTCTCCACGGAGCGCAGAGAGGCGGCTGAGCCCGAGCTGGCGTTTGGAAGGTGGCAGGAGCAGGAGGAAGAAGGAAGGCCCCCGAAGGCCCAGTCTCCATGCACAGGAAGGGGCTGTGGAATGCAGGCTGCAGCCAGGCCCTGGGCTTCTCTCTTTGCAAACAAAGATCTCTAGGGCAACCAGAACAGTCAGGACCTGCACCTGGGGTCCTGGGGTGTCCCCTGGCTTAGATCATAAAAAACACCCCAAAACCTAGGCAGAATGAGGAGATATTATCATCTGATCGTCCTTGGCTTTTTGTCGTATTACTCTTTGCATTTTATTATTCTTATTTTTTTAAAAAATCTATTTATTTACTTGAGAGGTAGAGTTACAGACAGAGAGAGAGACAGAGAGAAAGGTCTTCCTGCCACTGGCGCACTTCCCAAATGCCTACAATAGCTAGAGTTGGGTTGATCCGAAGCTGGGAGCCAGGAGCGTCTTCCAGGTTTCCCACGTGGGTGCAGGGGCCCAAGGACTTGGGCCATCTTCTGCTGCTTTCCCAGGCCATAGCTAGATTAGAAGTAGAGCAGCCGGGACTCAAACCAGCGCCCATGTGGCGCAGGCAGAGGCTTAGCCTACCACACCACAGCACCGGCCCCTGTGTGTTATATAAAGGAAGAAAGAGGGCCAAGCGCCGTGGCTCACTTGGTTAATCCTCCACATGTGGTGCCGCCATCCTATATGGGCCCCAGGTTCTAGTCCCGGTTGCTCCTCTTCCAGTCCAGCTCTCTGCTGAGGCCTGGGAAGGCAGTGGAGGATGGCCCGAGTGCTTGGGCCCTGCATCCACATGGGAGACCAGGAGGAAGCACTTGGCTTCTGGCTTCGGATTGGCGCAGCACCAGCCATAGCGGCCATTTGGGGGTGAACCAATGGAAGGAAGACCTTTTCTCTCTTTCTCTCTCTCTCACTGTCTATATCTCTACCTGTCAAATAAAAAAAAAAAAAAAGAGAGAGATAATGGGGCTTGTGGGAGGGGGTCCCAGAGTAAGCGTGTCCTAGAACTGTCCTGAGGATTCCCTCTTTGGACCAGCCTCCCACCGGGACCTCAGCCTGCCTGATCCAGGGGTGCAAAGATTGGTCAAGGCCTCCAGGAGGCCCCTGGGACCTCAGGCCATGAGGACCAGAAGGGCGAGTGGGCCATGCCGCCTCTTCCCCCTGCCTCCCGCTGCAGATTGAAGTGAAGCTGTCGGTCAAGTTCACCAGCAGGGAGTTCAGCTTGAAGAGGATGCCTTCCCGGAAACAGACAGGAGTCTTCGGGGTCAAGATAGCCGTGGTCACCAAGTAAGTGGCAAGGGCACTGGGCCGTGTGCACCAAGAGCACAGGTGTCTCTGCAGAGAGGGGCGAGGGCAGCACTCCCTGCCGCCAGGTGTGGCCCCTAGGGGACGCCCCACGTGTGTAGCCATCCCCCGTGTTGACCGCACAAACCTGCTTAGAGACCTCCTCCCCTGGCTTGGAAGCTGTCCTGGTCCCTGGTCGGTGCCCCTTGGTCACGAATCGGCTGCCCCGAGTAGACGCCTGTTTGTCGGTTCGAGGGCACAGGCCGCTTTCCTCCCGGAATTCATTCCCTTCCCCGGGACAAGGTCTGGCCTGGCCCCTGACCTCACTGATCCTCTGGGTCCGGGCGGGCCTGCGGCAGCCGTTTCCTGAACACCTACTTGCAGCGCCAAACACCGTTCCCACCCCACCCCTACGAGGGCACCCCAGCCAAGCCATCCCCTGCCCTGGAGGCAGAGAGACTGCGTGGGCAGCAGCCACCCCCATGGTCCGGGAAGCAGCTGGGATGTGCTCCTGACCCCAGTTGCAAATACAACTGAAAGGAGGGCCTGCCGGCAGCACCGGCTCCTGCCCCCTGAGCTCTGCCTGCTTCCTCCAGGCCCTGGAGGTACTCCAGTCGCCCACGGCTCCAGCCCAGAGCAGACAAGCGTTCAGCATCACAGGATTCTGAGCGCCGACTGCTTAGGCAGCCCAGTGCCGTCCCGCACCTTCACGCCGCGCAGACGCGTGCTGCGGGTCTGATGTGTGCACTTGGGGAGGCCCAGGGGCTCAGGGGCTCCATGCCGCTCGCACAGCAAGTGAGCAGCAGGACCAAGGCAGGGGCGCCATCTTCCCACCTGGAGATCAGCTTGCTGCTTTCCAGGGAGGGGCACTGTTCACTCGAGGCCTGGGATCTTCTCTGCCCTCCCTGCGGCCAGCCGACTGCCTGACTGTTGTCCCCTATCCCCAGCCCCTGCCCCGGCTGCTTCAGCTGCCTAGAAAGCCACCCCCACCCCCACCCTGGGAGCTACACCTAGCGGTCACCATGAGCATGCAGCGTGGAGGGAACGTGCGCACCAGGCTGTGTCACTTGTCTCCCTGGGGAACTGAGGATGTCTCTCTGCCCACCTTCCTGCCCCAACTTGCAGGAGGGAGAGGTCCAAGGTGCCCTACATCGTGCGCCAGTGCGTGGAGGAGATCGAACGGCGGGGCATGGAGGAGGTGGGCATCTACCGCGTGTCCGGAGTGGCCACGGACATCCAGGCGCTGAAGGCGGCCTTCGACGTCAGTGAGTGTCCACGCAGCGACCCCCAGAGTGCCCTGCTGGGACCTGGCGCCCCACTGGGACCCAGCACCCGGGGTATCCCTTCTCCAGACCCTCTCCTGCGCCCGCTCTTTGGGTATTAGAAAAATGAAAGACGGGGTCAGCGTGGGCCTGGCACTTTTTTTTTTTTCTTGAAGACTATTTATTTGAAAGTCAGAGTTACACAGAGAGAGGAGAGGCGGAGAGAGGTATTCCATTCCCTGGTTCACTCCCCATTTGGTCGCAATGGCCGGGAAGCTGCACTGATCCAAAGCCAAGACCCAGGAGCTTCTTCCAGGTCTCCCACACAGGTGCAGGGGCCCAAGGACTTGGGCCATCTTCTACTGCTTTCCCAGGCCATAGCAGAGAGCTGGTTCGGAAGTGGGACAGCCGGGACTAGAACTGACGCCTGTATGGGATGCCGGCACTGCAGGCAGCAGCTTCACCCACTACCCCACAGTGCTGGACCAAGGGGCTGGCAGTTTTAATGCAGTTAAGACACCTGGGTCCCACGGCTGACTGACTGTGTTAGAGTCCCAGCCCCCGCTTTTCACGTCCTGTTAGTGCAGACCTTGGGGAGGGGGCAGTGATGGCAAAGTGACTGGACCCCAGCCACGCACATGGGAGACCCCTATGTGTTCCTGGCTCCTGTGCTGCCCGGCACAGACCATTGAGGGTATTTGGGAAGTGAACCCCACTTATCTGTGTCAATGTCTCTCTAACTCTTTGTGTTTTTCAAGTATTTCTTTATTTATTTGAGAGGCAGACAGAGGGAGAAACAGAGAAAAAGGTTTTCCATCTGCTGGTTCACTCCCCAAGTGGCTGCAACGGCCAGGGCTGGGCCCATCCAAAGCCAGGAACCAAGAGCTTCTTCCAGGTCTCCCACGTGGGTGCAGGGGCCCAAGCACTTGGGCCATTGTCTACTGCTTTTGCAGGCCATAGCAGAGAGCTGGATTGGAAGAGGAACAGTCAGGGTCTGAACTGGCACCCATATAGGATGCTGGTGCAGCAGGTTGAGGCCTAACCTACTACGCCACAGTGCTGGCCCCTATTATTATATATATATATTTTAAGATTTATTTATTTGAGAGGCAGAGTAACCAAGAGAGGAAAAGACAGAGAGAGACATCTTTGATCTTCAGGCTCACTCCACAAATGCTAACAGTGGCCAGGGCTGGGCCAGGCTAATGCCAGGATCCTGGAACTCCTTCCGGTCTCCCACATGGGCAGCAAGGGGCCCAGGTGCTTGGGCCATCTTCCATTGCCCTCCTAGGTGCATTAGCAGGGAGCTGGATTAGAAGCCGAGCAGCTGGGACTCAAACCAATTGTCCAAACCCACTGTACCACAACACCAGCCCCATAAATTAATTTTAAAAAAAAGTTATGGGAGGGGTCTCTGCAGAAGCTGACCCTGCATCCATCCAGGCAATGCTTACCACTTGTCAGGTGGGGCCAGGAGCTTCCATGAGGCCATGGCCAAGGCAATCACTGCCCCACTTGAGGGTGTGGCGAGGCAAAGGCGCCGACGTACCCAGCCCCTACTGGTGCTGCCGCATCCCCACCTCTGTCTCGCTCAACTCACCTGCCGGGCCAAGGGCCAGGGGCCAGGCAGGGATTCTGAGACCCCCAGAGGGGCTTTGCCCAGTGTCCCCAGAGTGGAAGGTGCTGAACCGTACTCATTAGCGCTGCACGCAGCCCGCACCCTGATCTGGAGCCCAGCTGAAAGCTCAGCACCCCTGGGTGGGCCCTGCTCTCACGTCAACTCCCCCCAACTTCCTTCCCTGGACCTCACAGCCTCCCCCTGGCCAGGGATGTCCTGGCTGTGCCACCGCTGCTCCTCGCCAAGCAGGCGGGGGAGATGGGAGGATGCACCTGCCTCCCCCACAGACTTGGAATCAGGAGGCTGCTTGGGGGGGAGGTGGACGCGCTGCCCAGAGGGGCAGGACCCACGAGATGGTCAGCAGGGCCAGGAGGGCTCAGACTCCGTCTCCGCGCTGTCGGCAGATAACAAGGACGTGTCGGTGATGATGAGCCAGATGGACGTGAACGCCATCGCCGGCACGCTGAAGCTCTACTTCCGGGAGCTGCCCGAGCCCCTCTTCACTGACGAGTTCTACCCCAACTTCGCCGAGGGCATCGGTGAGCACCCGAGGCTTCCCGTCCTTGGGTGGGGGGCACCCATGCCAGCCCTGCTCTCCCCCACCCAACGCTTTGCCATGGGCTGCGTTTGGGCCTGACCTCAGAGCGCTGGCTGTGCTGGGCCCGGAGAACCAAGCCAGCCTGTCTGTGAAGGGCGTCTCCTGTGCTCAGACAGCACGAGGTCCCCGCCCGTCCAGTAAGCCCCCAGCAAGCAGCTGCCGCTGCCGTGGAGTCAAGTCTGCAGACCAGGAGGTGGACGCCCTGGCCCCTCCCTCCCTACCTCTCTCTAACCTGGCAAGAAATCCCGGCTCACCACGCGGGGCACTGCAGCTTCCCCGTCCCCCACCTAGGACCAGCCCACCTCTCAGATCCCAGCCCAGTTCAGGCCCCCGGGATGCCCGGGTGGTGCGGGGCTCAGGAGTAAGGCCTGCAAAGCGTCCTTGTCCTCACACTGCCTGCTTCCTTCACAGAGGAGGAGGAGCCAGGAGCGTGTGATGGACAGCTGTATCCATCAGCAGCCGCTGTCACAGCCCTGGGTGCCCAGGGCCCCTTTGAGCCACAGGAAAGATAGCGAGGGCGGGTCACACTCCACACAGGTTCCTCCTGGGGGCCAGTGCTGTCCGAGCGAGGACGGTGCTGGTGTGGGCACCCTCAGGAGAGGCCTCCGGGCCCCACTGCTCTGAGCCTCCCCACCAAAATCACCCCCACCCCCCACTTCCTGCAGCTCTTTCAGACCCCGTCGCAAAGGAAAGTTGCATGCTGAACCTGCTGCTGTCCCTCCCGGAGGCCAACCTGCTCACCTTCCTCTTCCTCCTGGACCACCTGAAAAGGTAGCCCCGGGTAGCCGGCCAGCAGCTCCGAGCCGGTTTCTCTCTGTGGGCTCCCCAGGGCCACCCCTGCCCCTCTCCCTCCTCCTCAGAGCTGTCTCTCACCCCCTCTGGGCACTGGAGCTTTGCTCGGCCTCAAGCAAAGAACAAAGATGCTTTGACCTTGGCCATCGGTGTCCCCTGCCCACCCCCACCCACCCCCACCAGGGCATGGCTGAAGCTGGCCTGCAGAGGCCTCTATCCTGGGCACCCCCGAGACCCCAGAGGACCCCCGGGGGGAGTCAGCCTTCAGCCCAGCCAGGATGGAGTTTGTTCCGCCTGAGTGGCTGTGCCACTGGAGCCAGCACAGGGCAGCCAGGGGCAGTGTGTCATGACAGCACCTTCCTTGCTGACCCTCTGCAGGGTGGCAGAAAAGGAGACGGTGAACAAGATGTCCCTGCACAACCTTGCCACTGTCTTCGGCCCCACGCTGCTGCGGCCCTCGGAGAAGGAGAGCAAGCTCCCCGCCAACCCCGGGCAGCCCGTGACCATGACCGACAGCTGGTCCCTGGAGGTCATGTCCCAGGTATGGAGGATGTCAACACAGACTCTCCCGCCCGTGCTGTGCCACACGGTGGACAGGGCAGCCCCCTGGGCCACCAGCACAGTCCAGGGGTGGTGGCCAAGGTTAGAGAGAGGGAGCTGCCCAGGCCCCCACGGCTCTCGGCTCCCTGACCCCTGTCTGAGCCTCTTCCCTCTTCCCTCTGCACCCCGGGCAGGTCCAGGTGCTGCTGTACTTCCTGCAGCTCGAGGCCATCCCTGCCCCAGACAGCAAGAGACAGAGTATCCTGTTCTCCACTGAAGTCTAAAGACCCAGCCATCGTCTCCAGGAGGTCAGCAGGACTGCCTGGACACCCGTGGCGGAATGGGCCACCCGCGGAGCAGGAACTGTAACCGGGCCACCTGCCAAGAGACAACAAGCACCCAAAGCAGAGGGCCAGATGGCCTAGGCGGACCCCCCCCCCCCAGGGAGCACCTGGTGGGCCTGCAAGCCTTGGGCTGGCCTCAGACTGTGCTTTTCTCAAGCTGCCACCAGAGGGCGCTCCAAGCCCGCACTGCTCCACTGGGAGCGAAGGGAGTGGTTTTTATGAATTTAACTTATCAGAATTTAAAAGATTCCCTACTGGATCACCTGTCAAGATGCACCCTGTCCGGGGAGAAGCTTCCCTCCCTGTTGTGTCTTGAATAAACGCTGCTGCTGCTGCACCCCTGGGGGCCACGGCCCTCTCCCTGTGGCGGGGGAGAGGGAGGGGACGGGTCAGGTGCCCTGACCCAGGACACACACCCCCCCACCCCATCCCCACCCGCCACCTGTAACAGGTCCATACCGTGCAGCGCTCCAACTCCACACTCACCACCTGCTTCTCTCTTTTCTTTCTAGAAGGATCTCTGCAGAAACTGGTCCGCTTCCTGCTGTTTCACATTGCTTTGTTTTTTGCTGGCTTTTTGCCCCGGGATGGAGCCAGGATGCTGCGGGTGGGGGACCAGACCCCTCCTGGGGAGGGAGTGTCACTCGGGGACAGTCGGTGTGTCCACCAGCCCTGTCTTCCTGCCTGGCGCTCACTCCCTTTTTGGCTTTAAAGAAAAAAACAAAAACAAAAACACTTCAACTTCTCCGGCTCTGCTGTGCCCAAGGCCCCAGCCCCTCCTCCCCTGCACACCTGCCTTCTCTCCCGGCCTTCAGCGGAGCGCAGTTAACTCTTGTACAGGGCTGGTTTTAAAACTTTGATCCGAAATAGCCTTTTGATACTTGAATATTTTTAAGTTTTATACATAGTTTCTAAGGTTTTTTTTTTCTTCTCCTAACAAGATTCTGATACCTTAATAAGATATTAGAATGTATGCCGCGTGGACTGTCCCGTGTCCTAGCAGCATTCCGTCTTCCTCGGAGCGCCCAGAGCGTGGGACACGAGGAGGGGCTGGGACAGGCCGGGCCTGGGGCTCCCAGTCCATGCCCCGGCTCACCCCCGAACCTGGGCAGGAGCCAGGGCCGGCCGCCAAGTGTTGTGAAGAAACAGACCCTTGAGCAGTCACGGGTTTGTTCCGGGCAGGAGAGTGCAGACAGCCAGGGGAAGCGAGAGGCGAGGTTTCCCAGCCGGTCTTGGGGGGGCTGGGGGTGGGGGTGGGGGCTGCAGGAGGCAGAGGAGCAGTAGGCGAGACTCTGGACCGTGAGCACGAGAAGTCACGGGAGGACACAGCAGGGCGCCGTCCCATCACCCGGGCGTCCACAGGCAGCCCACCGCGGGGAGCCCCTAGAGCCGGGGAGCCCTGTGCCCCCTTCCTGGCTGCTGGGGGCCTCGCCCAGGGAGGCAGAAGGCAGGAAAGCAAAGACATGGAGGTTCGCTGCTGCTGCGCGTGGCATCCATGTAGCCTGCTTTCGGCTCGCAGCGCCTTGCAGGCAGGGAGTGGGAGCTTGTGCCCTCAGCACCCAGCTGGGGCCCCTGGACCCCTCTCTGGCCTGGCTTCCCAGCCCCACGAGGGCCAGCTCTTATTTCTGTACCCCCCTAATCCCCTCCAGTATGTCTTGCGGTCTGCATCTGTTGCCTAGAAACTGGAAAGCAATATGCCCCAACCCAATGTGTGTGCCAATGCGGGCCACCTCCTCCTACCCCCAGCCCCATCCCTGCTGCCTCCGGCCCCTGTGAACCCCCCTCCCCCGCTGCCTCCTCGCCCTGGACTTCTTATTTATATAGGACCCGTGCTATTGGACCTCGAAATGACCCCGTCCTGGCCGTGCGGTTGTGAGCGTGTCCCTCTGCCGCTGGCCACAGGGTCCATCAGTGCTTTGCATGGGAGTAGGGGGCTGCCTCAGTTTACCTCCTGTGTCATACCCCACGGGCCTGTGAATTGGCAGAGCCAGTGCGGAGCTGACCTAGGAGGGAGACCCGACCCCACCCCCGACGAGGTGTGGCCACCAGACTCTGCAGCCAGAAGCCATGCTCTCGGGCCTCGGGCCTCACCATCACCGCAGCCTGGCTGTCCCGCACCAATGGGCGGCTGTGCCCATCCCACTTCGGAGCCCAGCTGTCTGTGCCACACGGGGCTGGGGGTGGTGGGGGGAGCCTGGAGGACTGGCTGCCACTTCCATTAAAGTTCCCTGTGACAACAACAACTTGCATTGGTGGTGATTTCTAGATTAAAAAGAAAAGCCACGGCTGGCACCCCTGGCGGTACTGGGCTGGGCGGTAGAGCTAGAAGCAGCGGGTGCACAGGTGGCTACGGGCAGGGGCTGGCTGGGCAGTGCTGTGGAACAGCCACTGAGCATGGGCAGGGACCTTGGCTTTGAGAGGGACAAGGACCACCTGGGAGATGCTATGCTGAGCCTGCAGATGGAGCAGCCTGGCTGGTGCCCGGGGGCAGGCGGGGCTCCAGCCAGCCACCCTGGTGTGCATGAGCTCCTCGATCAAGGGTGCTTCCTCCTTAGGTGGAAATTTGGTGGTGGTGCCAGGCCCAGCGGGCAAGATGGGCCATGGGCATTCTTGGGGCCTGTGACCTTGACCTTACCGTCAGAAGCCCACCCGCTTTATTGGGAGGGAGATGGGCAAGGCTGGGGAAAGCCGACTGTCCATTGGCTTTGGCACCAGATGGCCCTGAGCACCCCCAGGAGGCCAAGGCTCCCTCGAGAAAGACCCCACGCAGGTGGCTGCAGGGTGGGTGATCCCAAGTCTTCCTAGGACCCCAGGGAGGTGTTCTCGTAGGCGCCTGATGGGTGCTAGGGGTGAGGGGCTTGATTGGTGGTGTCCTGCCTGTAGGAGGACTGTCTGGCTGGTCTGTAGATGCCTGTCCTTGGAGGACAGTCACCACCACTGCCATTGTCAAGCCAGAAGGTGCAGGTGTTTCCAGGAAGGCCAGGGGTCACCCTTCACTGGCCTGCTGCTGACCTAGGGGAGGTCACATTGAGACTTACATTACTAGGAGCTGATGTTTAAAAAAAAAAAAAAAAAAAAAAAAAACCAACATTTTACTTGAAAGGCAAATGGAGATCTCCCTTCCTCTGGTTCACTCCCCAGATTCCTGTGATGGCTGGGGCTGGGCCAGGCCAAAGCCAAGAAGAGCCTGGAACTCCATCCCGGTCTCCAACTCGAGTGGCAGGGACTCAAGCCATCACCTGCCGCCTCCCGGAGTGTGCATCAGCAGGGAGCTGGAATTGGGAGCGGAGCCTGGGCTAGAAACTGGGCTCTCTGATACGGAATGTGGGCATCTCAAGCAGTGTCTTTTTTTTTTTTTTAAGGATTTATTTATCAGGGTTGGCACTGTGACATAGTAGATGAAGCCATTGTCTGTAGCACAGGCATCCCATATGGGCACTGGTTCGAGTCCCGGCTGTTCCACTTCTAATCCAGCACCCTGCCAATGTCCTGGGAAAGCAGGGGAGGATGACCCAAGTGCTTGGGCCCCTGCACCCATGTGGGAGACTTGGAAGAAGCTCTTGGCTCCTGGGTTTGGACTAGCCCAGCTCCAGCCATTGCGGCCATTTGGGGAGTGAACCAGTAGTTGGAAGGCCTTTGTCTTTGTCTCTCCCCTTCTCTAACTCTGACTTTCAAATAAATAAACAAATCTTAAAAAAAAAAAAAATAGGGCATCCAAGATTTCACGGAGACTTTCATACCCGCCCCTAAAGAGAGCCCTGACTGCCTTAGAAGGAAGTGTTCTCACGGGCTAAGGAGGGGCTGTCACAAATAGTCCTGGAAGGATACACGGCACACGGGTGACCGGCACGCTGCCCTTGAGGAGGTCCAAATGGCTTCCTGTGCAGCAGCTGCCGAGGGTCAGGGGGCAGGGTGGGGCTGGCAAGCCACCCCCTGCGGGGGGGCCAGAGAACCCTGCGGCCTCAGGCAGGGGGCCTGTGTCACCCGGGTCCCACGGTACAGAAAAGCCAGGCACGCACGCAGGCAGGCGGGGTGCTGGGAGACGGCCCTAAGGCAACTTGGTTGCATCCAGAAGACCAGCTGCTGTGGGCAAGATGGTGCCTGGTGCCCCCAGACTGGGTAGTCCAGCCAGGCCTCCTGGGGACCCCTCTGAACTGTTCCCCAGCCCTCGCAAGGCTCAGCCTGCACACCGGCTCATTGTCCCTTCTCCTGGGGACAACTCACCACACTCCCTTCAAGTTTTCCGGCACTGTCCGTACAGCTGTGGCACAGCGGGTTAAAGCCATTGCCTGCATGCTAGCGTCCCATGTGGGCGCAGGGTTGGGTTCTGGCTGCTCCACTTCCGATCCAGCTGCCTGCTGAGGTGCCTGGCCTTGGAAGATGGTCCTGTTTCTGGTTTCCTTCCAGTTTCCCGATGCATCCTAGGAGGAAGCAGAGGCTGGCTCAAGTGCTCGGGCCCCTGCTACCCGTGAGGGAGACCCAGACTGAGTTTCTGGCTTTGGCCCCAGCCCTGGCTGTTGTGGGCATTTGGGGTGTGAACCAGCAGTTGGGAATGTTCTCATTTTCTCAAATAAATGAATCTTTTAATGAAAAACAATTTCCTGAGCCCAACAGTGAGCCTGTATGTCTTCTACATTCTAATCAAAGGAGGGACCTGGGAAATGGAGCCCAATGAGCACAGGTCCTTGAGGCCCTGCTGGCTAGAGCAGGCCCCGGGAGAAAGCCCAAGGCTAAAGAGAAGCCACCCCAGCTTCAGGGTCCTCCCCCAGGGACTCAAGTGACCCGGACAGGTGGACCTCCAAACTCTATGGCTTAGCCCTCAGTGGGGAGGGGGACACAGTGGGAATCCCGACCCATCCAGAGGGAGTTGGATGTTATAATTCCTCATTTAAATATATTTAAATAGAGCTTCATTTAAATATATTTAAATAGGCTTTGGGTTAAGCCCCTGCCTGCTAGGCATATAATCTCAGATTCCTGTCCCAGATGTTTCATCTCACATCCAGATCCCTGCTAATGTGCCCGGGAAGGCAGTGGAAGATGGCCCAAGTATGTGGGCCCCTGCCAAACACAAGGGAGACCTGGATGGAGTTCCTGGCTCCTGGCTTCAGCTGGCCCAGACCTGGGGAGTAAACCAGGGAATAGAAGATCGATTCTCTCTCTCTCTCTCTCTCTCTCTCTCTCTCTCTCTCTCTCTGCCTTTCAAATAAATAAATAAATCTTTTTAAAAACACAGCTGCAAATAAATATACAGCTGCAATTTATTCCTTTTGTTGTTGTTGTTGTTGTTGTTGTTAAGATTTATTCATTTATTTTGAAAGAGTTACAGAGAGAGTGGGAGAGACAGATCTTCCAGCTGCTGGTTCACTCCCCAGCTAGCTTCAATGGCCAGCACTGGGCCAAGTCAAAAAGCCAGGAGCCAGGAGCTTCATCCGGGTCTCCCATGTGGGTGGCAGGGGCCCAAACACCTGGGCCACCTTCCACTGCTTTCCCCAGGCCATTAGCAGGGAGCTGGATGGGAAGTGGAGTGGCCTGGACACAAACCAGTGCCTATGTGGGATACAGGCATTGCAGGCAGCTGCTTTACCCTCTGTGCCACAACATAGGGCCCCTGCAGCTGCAGTTGAAATGAGGTGACAAGTGCTGCCTTGCTCCAGGGACAGGGCATGGTGCGGAGGGGGCGGGGAGCTGACTGCCCCCCTTTCCTGGGTTTGCTGACCAAACTCCCCTCTGTAGCTGCCAAGGACCCCCATAAGAGCCCAACCTCCCACCTCTGTCCCTGGGCTCCAAGGCCACGTAGGGACCGAATGGAGAGAAAACAGTAGAGCGAGGGGAACAGCTGCTGGCTCTTTTGTTTCCTGGAAACAATTTTGAAAATGTTGCAGGGGAGAAGGGGTCAGAATTATTTGGAGCAAGCTCAGGCATCCGGGTTCCTGGTGTTTTCCATCAGATAAATGCTCCTGGGCCTCAGTCCCAAGCCTCTGGATGTGGGAGGGGCCTGCAGAAGCCCCACCCATAGCACCCAGCCCCTCCTCCAGCCTCCCACATCTAAGGTTCCTGGGCCTCAGTGCTGAGCCTCCGGTGTGGGAGGGTGCAGCCACGGAGAATGTCTTTATTTTGTTATAGATGTATTTCACTTGGTCACAACACCTGGGCCTGGGCCAAGCCAAAGCCAGGAATGTAGACTCCATCCAGGTCTCCCTCGGGGTGGCAGGGACCCAAGCGCTTGCACCTGCTTTCCCAGGTGCATTCGCAGGGATTTGGAGCAGAAGCAGAGCAGCCAGGAATTGCTGGTTTCTGGCGCCGCAGGCAACGTACTAACCTGCACCACGACACCTGCCCCAGGCATTGAGAATTTCTTCCAACTCCACTGTCACCTCGATTCTAACCAGAGCCATGCCCGCCCCAGGTTATGTGTTTCACTACCCCGGGCTTCAGCCCACATGTGTGCTTGTTTCTCGGTGGGAATGTCCCATCCCAGGCCACAGTGCTCCCTGGATGCCCAAAGCCCCCTTCAGTTCCTCAGCCCTGGGGCGGGTGGTTAGCACAATGGTTAGGGGGCCCCAAGTGGGAGTGCCTGGGTTCCATGCCCAGCTCTGGCTCCTGACTCCAGCTTCCAGCTAATGTAGACCCTGGGAGGCAGCAGGTGATGGCTCAAGTCCCTGCCACCCGTATGAGAGACCCAGATTCAATTCCCAGCTCCTGGCTTTGGCTCAGTCCCAGCTGTTGGGAGCATCTGGGGAGTAAATCAGTGGATTGAAGATCTTTGTGGCTGGCATTCTGCCTTTCAAATAAATAAAAATGTTAAAAAGCAGGAACAGTTGGAATAGTCAGGGTCTGGCCAGGCTGAAGCCAGGAGCCAGGAGCTTCTTCCAGGTCTGCCACGCGGGTGCAGGGGTCCAAGGACTTGGGCCATCTTCTACTGCTTTCCCAGGACATAGCAGAGAGCTGGATCGAAAGTGGAGCAGCCGGGACTCAAACCGGCGCCCATATGGGATGCCGGCGCTGGAGGTGGCCTCTATGCCACAGTGCCAGCCCCCAAGGAGGGAATTTTAAAAATTCAGCTGCAAATCCTGAAGATGATTATCAGAAGGAGATACTGCTGCTTTGGGTGCCGTGGGCTGTGTGCTGGATTCCCAGGAGACTGAGCTGCAAGCGGTCTGGCCCCCGGGGTGCACACACAGAATTTACAGATCCAGGCTTGATTCCACCTCCTTGACCACTCACGTACAAGGGGGCTTCA